TCATCCACCACTGGATCACTATTTTTATCTTTTTCTATTTTTTTTCTAAAGACATAAAAAAAGACACGAAACAACTTAGGAAGACACACACCTAGGCTATGATACCAAATTAATACAAGAAAAAATTTGGGAGAAGCCCCAAATTTTTGCGAGCAAAAGACAACTCTTCCTAGGATAACAAAGATACACAAAACTATCAAAATACTTGACAAAATAAGAAACAATACAACTTTTTATAATAAAAGAGGGCTTACAAAGTTTGACTTACAAACGACACAAACATTAACGTAAACTCCTAAAACTTCATTTCATCCATTGTGAAGAAGGATACAGGTGTCGTCGAGCTTGCAGATAGAAGAAATAGGCAAGAAGTTCAAGACGAAGATAGGAGATGCTCGCAAGCTTTCCTAGAAGAAGAGAGGAATGGAACATGCTCTCAAGATTTTCCACGATGAAACACGCAGGTTTAGGCTCCCAAAAATCACATCATATCATCTCTTTTTATAACATAAAACACTACATATTTATAGGATAAAAGTGGGCAACCAAACATCCCATAACATCAATATTTAAATCTATTAAATAAAGGGAAATAGAAGGCCAAAAGGCACACCAGGACAGCAGCTGAACAACCACAAAAAACATTCCAAATACATCTCGTACAGGATACCAAGGGGCGGAACCAGCAGGAACCAAAGAGGTCAGGGAAAAAGGGGGCAGAACCAACAATTTTCTCACGGGAACAGCAATAGCCAGGGGAAAACCGAGAAGACAACAACCCACAGCCTTAATTCCATGGAAGAAACCAAATAAAGATAATTTATGAGCTTCCATCAACACAAATAAATGAGCTAAACTTCAGCTCATAATGAGATAACCAGTAGCTCAAAATATAATGAGCTAGCACTAAACTTATCAGCTCAAAACCATAGCAGCCAAAGCCCATCCGAGAACAGCCAAGGCCCTAAACCGAGAACAGCAAGCAGCCCAAGGACAAGAAGGAACTCAAGTTGATTAGACCCCCCATGCCTACATCATAAATATTCTTTATTTACAATACACATATAATCTTTAATATGCATCTTATCATTTCTTAACTCATATATTCATACACTTTCATATTCTTAGTGCTTAAATCATTTTCAGTCTATACATTAAAATTCTCATTGTCTTATTCATGATTTTCTCCAAAAGAAATAAACAATTATTTGAATTACTATTTTCAGATTTGAAATGAAGATAAAATAGAGAAAATTTAAACATATAATTACCCACATTATTTCTTCTTCCAATATTCGTGCAGTTTTGAAAGCCGTTAATTGTTCACAAGAATAGAACAATTTAATTAATATTAAGATATCAATTAGATATATCAATGGACATTTAATTTCTTCTATGAAACTTACCTCACAAGATCTTCTTTCTTTTCTCGCAAAACTTCCTTCCTTCACCGTCTAACAAAATCTATATCACTTGATTTCTTCCTACCTAAAATATAGTCCTCATTATTCAGTAAAAGAAACCATAAATAAAAACACGTGATTTCAACTAATTTATTACCTTTCCTTTAAGAAGGAATTCCACAGTTCAATTCTTTCTTCTCTTTCTCTCTCAAATTCTTCCTCTTTACTTCCAAATTGCTCTCTTCTTTTAATAAAGTATCATTGGCTTTAGATGAAGTAAAATGACATAATTTATAAAAAAGAAAGAAAGAATTTCAACAAACATTCTTCCCTCGGTCGGTCCTCTCGCTTCTTCCTAAATTCCACTCCTTTAGCGATAAGAATATGAAAGGAGTTAAGAGGAGTTGTCGAATTTCATCCATGATCACAATCAATTTAAAAAAATAGTGAAACGATTCTCCAATTCCTCTCCACGCATGCCCTTCGGTTCCGCCTCTGTCCGTTCTGTTCGCGAATAGCAACCCCACTCCTGGGTCTTCACTTCTTATTAGGCGGGTGGGCCGGTTCGGTTGAACTGGCCCCCAACCGGTTCATTACAATTCCCAATATTCTGCTCACTGGACTTTTTTGACTATCTTCTCTTTACTGCTTTGCCAAGAAAAGGAGATTGCATGCAATATGAAATAATAGATGACGCTGCCATGCTCTGTAATTTCCTGTTTTGTTTTCTAGTAAATTTTTTTTTTCAGTAATTTTTTTATTATTCCCAATATTCTGCTCCCTGGACTTATTTGACTATGTTCTCTTTACTGCTTAGATTGTTGTAATGTGGTCAAGTTTTATTGTTGTTTTACACTTCGACTTTTATATACCAATTAGTAATTTGTTTATGGTATGTACAAATGGCAATTCGAGGCTGCTGCAACTCCAGACAAGGTTATTGGTCTGATGTACAGTAACAAGGGGAAGGAAGAAAAATATCAGAGAAGATGAACGCAAAAAAGGGTTTTGATATTTTTTCATTACCTTCCAAAAGGGGATTACACTATTATATATCTCGTTCCTCCCTAATTCTAAATGATAAAAAAGTAACAGACTAGTGCCTAGCATGCAACCATCGCAAACACATTAGCCAATGAAATTAAAACACTTAAATAAAGGTTAACAAACAAACGACCCATAATTTGTGTCACCTATTTATTCACCCAATCGTAAGCCTAATCTCTTCCTTCTCATCAATTAATTCTTTGAGCTAAGCTAGAAGCTTTTGAGCCCGTTTTGTGCAGTTCTCCGTTGTTAGTGTTAATGGGTGAAGCTTGATTAGCCTGTATCAATTCCCTTTCTGGTTGAGAAATTGATCTTGTCTACAAGGTTAGATGGGATGTTCAGATGTTGAGTTCATCCACATTCAGACATGTAGCTTTGGTTGACTCATATAATCCACTGGACGAGGTGTTGCCAAACTGGCTGTTGGTTGATGCTGTCTTGTCTCTGCTTTCTGGTTGGACTATTGGGTGATTTTCACAATTGCTTAGTCGTAGTGTTGTTGGATGCAAGTTTCAATCTTCATGGAAGGGATTAAGGAAACATGAAAAATAGCCAATTCTTTCTTGAACACAGAAGGGTCTGTAATAGCGATGAGCTAATTTGGAGCATCACTCATTTTTGATGGAAGATTGTCGCTATGGTTGAAGCTTACCAGTACTAAATCTACGATAGTGAAGCTCACATCAAGATGCTTTTGGTTAACTTTTTGTTTCACTCTGTGCATTGCTCTATGGAGATTCTTTTTTGAGTTCCTGTAAATTTGTCTTTTTATTGCATCCAGGAGTGTGGATAGTCTATTTCAGAATTGTTACCATTGTATGGATGTATAGGAGGTGAAGGGTGTCTATTTAGGGCTTGATATGGTGACATGTCAATTGAGGAGCGATGTGAGGTAGGTGTTGTTGTTGACCCCTAAAATATATCTAACGAGCACGACTGATGAGGTCAATCATTGATTGACGAGACGCCATACGAACGAGAACGACAAACATCAATGATGCACGAAATCACTCGAAATGTCATATGATTGCTAAATAGATTGCGCCGTTGCAATCTGAATGTAAAAAATAGCCAATTGAAGCCTCTCGCAAGGAAGTATAGTGAATGTGGTCAAAAATGTCAAATTGAGTGTGTGGCGATATGTGAGGTTACCCGAACGGTCTTTGTTTGCAAAATAGATAGTGCGAGTGCGTCCAAAACGCCTCAAAACCCTGGAAACGACACCCATATTGCTTTGCTAATATGAGAAAACTAATGAAAATTCACATACACGCGCAGAATAAGGCAAATTTTGACTTGCACGAGTGAAAAAAAATCAGCGAGTGTGCTAATATAAATTTAAAATAAAGATATAGAATCCGCCATCCCTTGCCACCGATGATGAGGCCAGTTGTTGCTATGCAGTTGTTTCATGAGTCTAGTGCGTGCAAGGACTTGAAATTTGGATTGCAGGGGATTTGAACTTGCAAAATAATTAAATTAATCTAAGCAAATTAAAACTCCTAAATCAAATGCTTAAAATATTAAAAAACAAGCAAGGATTAAAATACAAGGAATGAAATCTTTGTTTTGAATGGGCTTGTGGAGATGAAATCTTTGAGGCGGAGATCACATGATTGGTGTGGAGGATGAATATGTGGAATTGATGGCTTGTAGTAGATGGTCAATTGCTCCTTGTGGAGTTCCAGCAAAGCGAGATGGAGATTTATATCCCCAAACTATTTTTTCTATTTAAGTTGATTTCGGCATGGATGGTAGAGCTGATGTCGTCAAACATTTTGAATTTAGTGGGAGGCTCAACCAGTAAACCAAAAGATATGTACAAACGACAATTTGAGGTTCCCAGCAACTCCATACAAGGTTACTATTTCAATGTATAGTAACACAGGCGAAGTAAGAAGAATACCAAAGAAGATGAAGAAAAAAAGGGTTTGGATATTTTCTCATTCCGTGTCAAAATGGGATTACACTACTATATATATTGATTCTCTTAGATTCTAAATGAGAAATAAGTAACATACTAGTGCTAGCATGGGGTGGCAAATGTCCCCTTCTTTGCAGCTACCTCAAACACATTAGCCAATGAAATTAAGACACCTAAATAAAGGGTAATAAATAGTAGAACAAAAATCTGTGTCACCCATTCATTCACTTAATCGTGTAGAACAATAATGTGTGTCACCTAAGGTATTCATTCACCTAGTCATAAGCCCAATCTAGCACTTCTCATAGTTGTATTCCTAAAGCTCAGTTGGGGGCTTTCGAGCCCTTTTTGTGCGGTTCTCCTTGGTCGGCGTTAATGGGAGGTGCTTCAGGCCCATATCAGTTAGATTGCATATTCATTCTTTTAACCAATAAATTATCCTTATACTTTGTTTTTAGCTATATAATCGATAGCATTGGTCGTGTTGTCAATATATTAGCTTTTTAATTGTTGGTTGTTTTACACACAATTCGGTGGATGTAAATGCTAACATGTTATTATTTCCTTAAACTTTCATTTGTGTTGGTTGCAATTAATTTTAAACAGTCCTATTCTGATTATCTTAGGAACTCTTGCTGAGAAGGCTTTGCTGGCTGTATTACCTCCAGAAGATGAGTTTCAATATGCTGTTCGTGTTAACTCTGAAGTCATGTCGTCTGATGGTTCCACATCAATGGCATCTGTTTGTGGAGGTATTATTATTTTAACTAATTCATGCAGTTTGACTTACAAGTCAGTTCATTAGAAAATTGCATTCAAGTTTTGCCTTTTCAGAACAATATTTTTACTGATTTGGAGGATTTGTTCATGTCTTCTATTTTATTTTCAAGAATTAATACTTTATGCATAAAGATCCATGTTGGCCCAACCACTTCTATAAATTATATATAATGAAGGAGTTTGAACATTGTTAGGTTCAAGTTTACGAAGTACAAACACCGATGAGAAACGTAGACACACCACAAAATGACAGAAATATGGACAAGGCATATTGATATTATAAAAAGCTACTAGGAGACATGCTAATAGAAGATCTTAGCCATTAAATAGTAAATTTTCAAATAAAACCAGTAAATGTAATTTATTTAATCTAATTAATAAAGATTATAATAAAAATTTATATGAACAGGAAAGTATTTTAAGCATCTAATTTGTTTTTATACCAATGACTAGTCACAATAGCAAGTTCATCTTAAATTGAAAAAGATCTGAACCAAAATTCCTAATAGGAATCAAGCATTTTGGTCATCCAGTTTAAATTCAATCCAATAAATAATCACAACTATAAGTTAAACTTTACTGATTAAAAATATATAAAGAACTTATATATTTGAACTATTATTCAATAGGTACATTATTAGTACATCAAAGTGCAAATATAGACTTTTTGAGTTATTATTGCGTGCTCAGTTTATTTACGGCCAAAACATCAATTACTAGTAGGCACTTTTATCTTGCTTCTCTAAATTATATATATAAAAAAAAGATAATTTCATGAAAGAATATGATGGAACTCTTTTTATTACTAAAATCTATTATAGTTATTGCATATAAGTATATTGCTACTATATTCTATTATTGATTTGAATGGGGATAAATTTCTTAGAAGGGCTATAATTAATAATGTTTCTATAGGTAGGACCTTTAGTTTTCAAATTTTAACAAAGCGCCAAATTGCCCTTTGAGTGCGGCATTTTTATGTAGCCAATGATTATCTTGTGGTACAGAGCCAAATAGCTCTTTGGGTGTTGATTAATGAAGTGGTTGGGTCCCTAATAGCTAACAATTCCTAATGAAACGGATTAGGGCAATTGGGCATGCGAATAGTTGATTGTGGGAAGCTAGTGAAATGATGATGCAACATAAAATATCTAATGATGCCTACTCGGTCTAGTTCTGTCACAACATGTAGAAGGCTTATAAATTATATAAATTATTAATATATCTTTACATACAAGAATTATTATTTTTGCTTGGTAAATCCTGAAGGTCGTTTTAAATAAATTTCAAATGATTATTGACATCATCATCAGAGGACCAATAATGCTATACAATTTGGGTAATGTAAATACAGAAAATCATTTTGAAATAATTAATTTGTTGTGAATTGTTATGGAAATTTTCCTGTTGTTTATTTGCTCAAAGCAATTTCTGTTGGTTGTAATCGTCTTCTTTTTCTTAAATACCCAGATTTAAATAGCTAAGAGGATATAACGTAAGAGGAGAGGATATACAGAATTTTTAAATAAAATTGTGAAAACTTGGAGAAGTTCGAAATAATGATATTCATTGTCTGTGGTCAACTGGAATATGTGCGCTGAAATTTTCAGTTGTCTTTATGCTGCTTTTTTTTTTTTTTTCTTTTGATATCATGCATATTTTCTGTAGGTAGTATGGCATTGATGGATGCTGGCATACCTGTAAGAGAACATGTTGCAGGTCTTTCAGTGGGTCTTGTCAGTGAAGTAGATCCATCTACTGGGAATATTAAAGATTACCGCATCCTTACGGATATACTTGTAAGCCTACTATTTTTTTTTTGAAGGATAGTTATCATCAAATTTATTTCACTTTATCAGATTGGAGTTACTGTTTGCTAGGTGTACTAGTGGTCTAATTCTTTAAGAATTAAAACCGAGTTGATTTTTCCCATTTTTTGTTACGTGCCTCAGAAGTTTATTGAAGTTTCTTCACCATTGGATATTTTCTTCTTTGTTAATTATGACTTGCATTCATCTACTACAAGGGTCTAGAGGATCACCTAGGAGACATGGACTTCAAAATTGCTGGAACAAGGAAAGGAATTACTGCAATTCAGTTGGATATAAAACCTGCCGGAATTCCTTTAGACATTATATGTGAATGTTTGGAAACTGCTAGAAAGGGTCGTATTCAGATAATTGATAGGATGGACGAAGAGCTAAGTTCGCCACGTACCTTGAATGATGGAAATGCCCCACGACTAGGTTGCTTCTGTATCTCTTTCTAAAATACCCTTTTTTGTAATTATGGGAAATTTATTGAGGTTTACTGTTACTTGCAGCTACTATGAGGTTGGATGAGGAATCCCTTCGTCGCTTGCTTGGCCCTCTAGGTTTGCACAGGAAAAAAATTGAACAAGAAACAGGTACTACCACCCTCTTCCTGACTGGAATCTTACTCATGTATGCCTCCTTTGGTTCAGATATGATGCCTTTTGACTATTATTAAGCCCATTACTATTGAAGTAGATGGATTAGAGAATTTGAGTTTACAATTTCATGGCTGGTGATGTCTTGTGGTCCTGATATGCCGGGGGGCACCTTGTGGGGCCTAGAGGAGATGATTTATTAGGTAAGGAGGATGAATCAAAGGGGAGCCGTTAGGAAAGTTTCCTAATTGTGTTTATGATGTTTAGGAATGTTTTAATAATTTAGGAAAGTTTCCTAATTGTGTTTATGATGTTTAGGAATATTTTAATAATTTATGAAAGTTTTCTAATTGTGTTTATGATGTTTAAGAATATTTTAATAATTTAGGAAAGTTTCCTAATTGTGTTTATGATGTTTAGGAATATTTTAATAATTTAGGAAAGTTTCTTAATTGTGTTTATGATGTTTAAGAATGTTTTAATTATTTAGGAATGTTTTCTAATTCATGTTTAATTGTTTAATAAGGTTTCCTAAATTATGTTTAATTATTTAGGAATGTTCTATTTGTGTTATGTGTCTAGGCTATTTAAGGGGGAGTTTGGAGTAAGGTTAGGGATCATGCTATTGATGAATTTTATGGGTGTTTGTTGTAGTTCTATTTTTTGAGGGATTCCTAGCGGCATTTAGGTTGATTGGGAGAGCTGATCTACCTCTCAAATTGTAGATCACGTGTATCTTGTTTTCTCTTATTGAATTTAAAAAAAATCCGCCACCATTTTGGTTTTATTGCAATTTTTATATTGTTATTTGTCATTTTTGCTTCTAAGTTGTATCAAATTGATATCAGAGTAATTTCTTAGGACCGATGGCCGAGAAAAGAGTTGAGGTGTTAGAAAAAAAAAATGGAGAGGGCAATAGGGAAACTGCGAACGGATGTGAGATTATTGAATGAGCGTTTTTCAGCAATGGAAGGAAGACTTGGGAATTTGGAAGATATGATGATGAAAATGGTCTAAATGCAGTTGAAAGAGTCAGCATCGATTCCTAGGGCTGAACTAAAGGGAAATGAAATTCTAGAGGAGATGATGAGAAAGCTCATGGAGATGCGATAAAAAATCCCACTGACTATTCCAATTGCTAACCCTAATAAAGATTTGTTTGGGATTTTCTTGGTCGAATTTAAATAGAAAGAGATAGGAATTGAAGAGTTCAACAAAAAGTGCTTCTTTCATCAAGAGTCATCTCCCAGGGCTCCGATAAGGGGCATAATAGGGTTTCTTGATGGGGGGACAACAAGAAAGGAGGTTTATGGAGGAGGTGGTAGGGTGGCAGACCACTATGGGAGGCCGTTTGGGCAAGGGGAGTGGACAACCGGAGAAGGAGGTTGACGAAACAAGCCATGGAGATCGGGTTATATGAGGTAGATGGAAGAAAGGTGAAATTCCCACCCTCGATACCCCGGGGAAACATGGAGGGATCACGCAAGCGCTGCACTGGAGAGGGAAGAAGCTATTGTGGCAATGACGATCCTAGGGTGAGAAAGTTGAAGGAGCAAATGATTGAGGAAAAGGCTTTAAATATTCTCAAGAAGGAAGGTGAGGAAGTACCTGTAGAATTACTCATCAATATTTGAGTTCTCTACTTTAAGGGGGAGTTTGAGTTGGCTGAGCAAACTTTCAAGGAAGCACTTGGAGAAGGCGCTTTCCTGTCTTCTTTATTTGAAAAAACAAAATGCTATATTTTGGATTATGGTGCATACAATGGGTAGTACTGGGATATGACAATATTCACCAGCTTGAAGAAGGTATTTTGCTAGATTTTCCTTGGGATAAAATACTACTCTATTCAACTATGCCAGACTCGTTGAGCAAGACGCAACAGTGAAAGAGCAAGTATACCATATCGGTTGATCTTGTTAAGTATCCAGATTACTTTGACGCTTACTTAAGACTTGCAGCAATGGGAAAGGAAAGGAAGAATATTCAACTCAGCTTTGAAATGATTGATGAAGCTCTTAAAATAGATAAGTGCCGTAATGCTCTGACAATGCTTGGTGATCTGGAACTAAAAAGTGATGACTGGGTTAAGGCCAAAGACAACTTCTGTGTTGCCCGAGATGCAACTAATGGAAAGGACTCTTATTCCAGTCTCTCTCTGTGTAATTGGAATTACGTGGCAGCTATGCGATCTGAGAAAAGAGGTCCAAAATTGGAAGCGACCCATCTTAAAAAGGCAAAAGAGCTCTATACAAAAGTTTTAATGCTGTACTCCGCTAATCTCTATGCTGTCAATGGGGCTGGGGGAATGTATATGAAGTTAGCATTGAGGATGAGAAGTAAAGTCAAGTACGAGCTGCCCTTGTAGAAGAGATTACTAAGTTCAAGCAAGAAGCAATTTATGGGGAGCTTAGTCCTCCAAAAGGAAAGAATGGACACTCTCGAGTATCAAATATGTCACCAAACGCAAGATTAGCAATGCTAGCATCACTTGATGATGAGCATGTCATCAAATGCTCTAGTAGCAATGGCTTCTCAACTTTCAGAGGTTGAGGAAAGAGATCGAGCATTCACTAGTCATGGCTGGTGGAATCAATTGCGATCAATGGGAGATGATAAGAGTTTGCTTCAATACATGTTTAATGTTGTTGCGAGTGCAAGATGCCAACTGAGGAATAAGGAAATAGAGATGAAGCAGTTAAAGAAGTAAAATTTCAATTCTGGAAAAGCAGCAAAACATGCCTTTGAGCAACTAAAGAAAGCCATGACCAGCTTCCCATCCTTCCACCTTGAGGACAAAATGCTTTGTTTTTTTTTTTGGGGGGGGGGGAGGCATCTTGTGGGGCCCATGAGAGAGATGATTCATTATATAAGGAAGAGGAATCATAGGGGTGCTGTTAGAAAAGTTTTCTAATTGTGTTTATGATGTTTATGAATGTTTCAATAATTTAGGAAAGTTTCCTAATTGTGTTTATGATGTTTAGGAATGTTTTAATTATTTAGAAATGTTTCTTAGTTTATGTTTAATTGTTTAGGAATGTTTCTTAAATTATGTTTAATTGTTTAGGAATGTTTTATTTGTGTTATTGTGGCTTGGGCTATTTAAGTGAAGTAAAGCTAGGGATCATGCTATTGATGAGTTTTGTGGGTGTTTGTAGTAGTTATTTTCTTTGAGGGCTTCCTAGCAGAGTCTAGGTTGATTGGGAGAGCCGACTTACCTCTCGAATTGTAGATCACTTGTATCTTATTTTCTTTTATTGAAGTTTTAATAAAAAAAATAAGCCACCATTTAAGTTTTACTACAGTTTTTATATTGTTGTTTGCTGTTTTTGCTTCTAAGGCATATCAGGTATGTTAAGAATTTCTTGGAGCAGAAGAAAATTCTTGGATGAGAGAGAGAGAGGCAGGGAAGTGGGGGAGAAAGAGGTTCATAGGAAAATCTTTATTTCACTTCAATTGGGATACAAAAGGATTCAAATTACAGCAAACTATATGCCTATATATAACTATAGACCCTGATATGGAGGCTTACAAGGCAAACATAACCTAAACCTAGACCAATATCTAACAAGGTCCTTATTACTTTATTGGCTAAAACTAAACCTATGTACTGAAAAGAGTGAAAGAAAACCCTTTTTCTGTATCTCCGATTTGTGCAGATGTGGTGTTAAGGGTGGCAATGCTGCATTCATTCGCTCGGTCATGCTAAACTGTACTTTAAGCCCAAAACATTCAAATTTGCAAAAAACGTGCGCTATCATTTGTTATGTAAAGTGGCTTATGCCACGTTTCATTGTTTTAAGCTGACCGATGTGTCATACTATTATACTCACAACTCTCATATCTGTACTTAGGCTAGGGTGTTACATTGTTGTCTTGTTCAATATTCTCATATCTGTAGTATGATGTTTATGTACAAAAGATTTTAGAAACTTAAAACATTTTATTCGTAAATTTACTGCACTGGTATGATTAGACGGATGATTTCCACCCTATGAAGACTGGACTGTACTGTTTTTTATATTCCTTTATGGTCTAGCAAGTGGCTTTTATTGAAGTAAATATTTTCTTCATTGTGCATTGCCTTCATTCGCGAAGGCTTATAGTGTAATAGCTAGTAATTTCTTGAAACATAAATGCATGATTATTACCACCATAAAAATGCTCTTCTAGATTGCTTCCTTCAAGCTTTTGATTCTCCACTTCATTTTACTTCGGTCATAGACATTTTATATCTTTTTATGCTTCCCATGCATATCTTTTTAAAATTGGTCTTCATTTCTAGATTGTTCAGTTTTACCAATTGACTGTTCTGATTCGAGCAAGGTGTTTTTTTCTCAATATTAAGATCAGCTCGAATGAAGAAAACGAAATGCGTTTTTCCTGTGTGAAATTGATGTTTCTTCTTTTGAATAAACTTGGACACTTCAGATGCTAACTTCCATCATGTCTTTCTTGAATAGGAGCACGGATTGCAGTGAGTGATGGGGTAGTTACCATAGTTGCTAAAAACCAATTAATCATGGAGAAAGCTCAACAGAAGGTACTATCTCTTAACAGTTTATTAGTCTAACAAGTTCTTGTCAACCATGTTTATGCTTTTCTAATCTATTTTGCTTTCATAATTCTTTATTGTTCCATTCATGGAGCCAGCACCAACGAAGATCATGCAAATCCTAAATGCATGAAGCAAGAAGGCCTGCATGCAAATCCTAAATGCATGAAGCAAGAAGGCCTTCTTGCTTAAGAAGAGTTATAAAATTGTTTTTCTTGTTCTTTTGTGATTTTACTCTTAAAAAACATTATCCTTAAAGAGTTTTTTAGTGCAGAAAAGTTATTGAAGCGCAGACCACTGCTTTATTATGTGCATAACTATTGTAACTGAATTGGTTCGGCAGATTCCTTAAAATATGAATATTTAAAAATGAGATCAGGTGGTGCCAGGGCATTTTTTTCCTATTTTTTTGTAATAGAAGAAGCTTCAACATTCGTTTTACCTCATCTGCTCATTGTTAAGCTCTTTTTTTATCCGGAGAGTTTACCGTTTTGATTAGGATCCAAAATCTAATTTCTAAATATGTTCTTTAAAATGAGAGTAGCAGATGCTGGCATGACACTTTGATTTACATATTCATCTGGAGGTGCTGATCGGCCATTTTTATAATATTGCAGGTTGATTTTCTAGTTGGACGGCAAGTTCAGGTTGGTTCTATTTACAAAGGTGTCATTTCTTCAATCAAAGAATATGGCGCTTTTGTGGAATTCAATGGTGGCCAACAAGGTCTTCTCCATATCTCTGAGCTATCACATGAACCGGTTAGTATCAGCATTAGAGCCTCTTGATTTATAAATACTTAATTAATAGCTTTTTTCCTTGTGCCATGTTTATTTTTTTGAATCAGCATGCATAATTACTTTTCATTAAGCTTTTAACTTTCTTGTTCTACCATAATTAAAAATTCAATTAATTAATTAATTATGTTTTCCTGTTCAGTCAAATTATCTTATTTGTAGTTCTTATAAACTGACTACCGTTTGGTTTGGTACGACTTTCACACTGTTTCTTAAAGCAACTTTTTAGTACAAAAATTAAAATTTTATATAAAAAACTGCTTTAAGAAGCAATAAGAAAGCCGTCCCAAATGAATCCTACGTTTTTTTTGTGTGTTATGTGGCAGCATCAGTCAACTGATTTTGTTTGCTTATCATGGTGTAGTTTTTCAGCTTCTGGCTAATAAAGCAGCTAGGTCCTTTGGTTTTGTAGATGACATCTTTTAAATCATACGGTAGTTTTTCATCTTCTGGCTAATATAACAGCTATGTCCCTTGGTTTTGGAAAAGATTTATTGTAGGATTTTACAAAGTTGATTGCACATCTTGTTTCCTCTTCTTATTGTCAGTGAAAAGTTAAGCAGCATACAACTAAACGATCATGACAATAATAATGTATATTCATCTAAAATTACATATTTGCAGTAGGTGATCCTAATCTCTTCTTGGATAATTGAACTGATTATGCCAACTCTTTTTAGCGAGATGTAGTTATATATCAACACATCTTATGGCATTCAACCATGCGTCATGCCTTTAAGCCAACCTTAGTATAAATCCTGTCCAAGTGATATAATAAAAAGAATGAATGAGAGGGAGAGTTATGAAGATGTAAGGGAAGGAGTGGTTGGGAGGTTGGGGATTTGTTATAATATTAGGAGAAATAATACATTGTCCTGTAGGAACATCAAATAAACAAGAATCATTAACCATAGTAAAATAGTTAGTAAATAAGTGTATTTGCCATTTTTTTAGTACAAATCTGGGTTTTACTTAAAACGGCTGAAGGCTGAAGCTCATGGCACAGCGATAACTTTTCCTGCTATTGTTATGCTTTTTAGTATTTTTAGTGAGATTCACTTACAGCGAATCTTCTTTATTTGTGTCCTCTCCCCCTCTTTCCTTTCTTTTTATCTACTGTATACATTCAACCTGATTGATTGTGTTTTTCTGTTTGATTTTCAAGTGGCAGTACATGTGTGTATCTTTTAGTAGTTAGGTACTTAAACTTTAATTGTTTTTTTTCCTTGTTATGGTGGGTTGAGCCCTTAAGCATCAATTTTGACAGACTTGCTATCTTATTCTTCTACATGATTAGACCACCTCACAAACTTCCTTACTGCATTATTGTAAGGTTGCAAATAAGCCATAGGATATCTTATCTTCTGAACATTGTTGATCTCTGCAAAATCAGACAGTAAAAAACTCAACTGTTTCTGTGTACAGCTATCGAAAGTCTCTGATGCTGTGTCTATTGGTCAAGAACTATCAGTAATGTGCATTGGTCAGGACGTTCGTGGCAACATTAAATTATCTTTGAAGGCTACTCTTACTAAACGTGGATCTGAAAAAAAGTGTCCGGAAGATAGCATTCCTGTTTCTTCAGATAGACAAGCTGTTAATTTCTGGTCCACCTTAGCTGATCTACCACTTGGCAAAGAAGATGCCGAGCCGTTAGTTCTCAGAACCGACGGAGAAGGTGAAAGTGTAGGGGAAAATGTGGAAAGTTCTGCACCGTCCGTTGTTGTTAGGAGTGCTGCAGAATGTGATGCTCGGGATAATGTCAACTACCAGAATGTGACTAAGAAGGCTAAAGCCAAATCTCTTCCTAGACCTTACAATTCTGTCCCTTCGCAAAAAGATAAAGTGGCCTCAAGTAGATCTACAATTGATCTTTCCTCTGGAAAAAGAATTGCAAGTTTGCTGAATATATCACATGTTACAAAAGAAGAAGATGCTTTACCTATGGATGTGAGCAAATCTAGATCTTCTAGGGTAACCAGTGTTAATGCTAATTCATTAAAATTGGGAGATAGATTTACAGCAAAGATATACCAGATACGTGCACGTGGATTGGTACTTGAAGTGGCTGGAGGTGTGCGGGGAATGTACAAATTTGAGGTAATTTTTAAATCTTCAATTTTCTATTCAGAGTTCTGAATTTTTTGGAGTTGATTGTGATTCGGATTCATTACTGTTTTTGTGACTTAGGCTTAGTTTGGGACGGTTTTATTAATGTTTCTTGAAGCAGCTTTATGGTATAAAAATTTTAATTTTTGTACTAAAAAACTGCTTTAAGAAGCATTAAGAAAGCCGTCCCAAACAAAGCCTTAAGCATTGTTCTTTTGCTTTATTGATGCGAGGGTGCTTAATCAAGTTATAGCTTGGTTACTACCATTTACATTTAAATGTTATATTTGTGCAAGAATAACTATCAAGGAACCTCTAGGTCAATGTTGCTGCTGAAATACTGGGTTAAAATTTGAAAATTTGGTTTTATGCAAGAACTACGACCTTTATTTAGAATGCGGTTAAGACTATCATTCTTCGTATGAGTCCTGAAGTCCTATTTCCTGTCAATAATGTGCGAAACCATTTGTGTTAAGATATGGCAGAGTTTTGATTTTACTTCATATTATATAATTAAAAAAGATGTTAGCATAAACTGTCAAGTGGTTGGCAACTCATTCATTGGCCTAAGATATGGACGACTTTTTAACTGCTTCTTAAAGTAGATTTTTAGTACAAAAATTTTAAATTTTGTACTAAAAGTTGCTTTAAGAATCAGTAAGAAAACCGTCCCAAATGATGTCTTAGGCTTCATTTGGGATGGCTTTCTTACTGCCTCTTAAAGCTGCTTTCTAATACAAAAATTTTAATTTTTGTATTAAAAGTTATTTTAAGAAACAGTAAGAAAGTCGTTCCAAACGAAGCCTTAATCATTGTTCTTTGCTTTATTGATGCGAGGGTGCTTAATCAAGTTATAGCTTGGTTACCACCATTTACATTTAAATGTTATATTTGTGCAAGAATAAGTATGTATGTTTCTTGATGGAATACTGTTCCTTAATATCAAGGATTCATCTAGGTCAATGCTGCTGCTGACATACTAGGTTAAAATTTAAAAAACTAGTTTTAATGCAAGAACTACGGCCTTTATTTAGAATGCGGTTAAGACTATCATACTTCCTGTCAATAATGTGCGAAACCATTTGTGTTAAGATATGGGCAGAGTATTGATTTTCATGTCATATTAGATAATTAAAAAAGATGTTAGCATAAACTGTCAAATGGTTGGCAACTCATTGATAGGCCTAAGCTTTTGGGTTGAAACTATATGTAACCATTGGGTGTATTAGGCCTAACTTTGGTCTCCCTTTAATGAATCATTCCCTACTAAGTGGCATCAGAACCAAATATTCAATTAGGATCGAGTGGCTCATACAATTTGTGGCTTTCATGATTCTTAGGCTTTGTTTGGGATGGCTTTTTAATGGCTTCTTAAAGCAGCTTTCTAGTAAAAAAATTTAATTTTGGTATTAGATAACCGCTTTAAGAAATAGTAAAAAAGCTGTCCCAAATGAAATCTTAGGTTTTGTTTGGGACAACTTTTTTCTTGCTTCTTAAAACAGCTTTTTAATACAAAAATAAAAAATTTTATACTAAAAAGCTCCTTTAAGAAGCAGTGAGAAAGTCGTCCCAAATGAAGCCTTAGTCATTTCCATCATAGTTGATCAAAGTTCAAAAATCGGTGACTTCCAATGGGCTTTTGCTATATGACACTTTATGTTATTTAAAAAATAAATTTGTTTAAGTGATGATCGAGGTGGATAACACTCATGTAAGAGAGAGAATGTTAAAACATATGAGAGTATTATTCTTAGCCTCTCCCACATAAGTTAATCGAACATTATGCTGTAGAAATATGAAGTAATTAATCATCACCTATAAGCTTAAGCTTTTGAATTAAAATTAGATTTGACTTTGATGCATTAGGCGTAATTTTGATATTCCTTTAATTCACATTCTATAATATTATCCTGAGAACGTTGCAACACAAATTATAATTTTTTTAGGCTTCGTTTGAGACGGCTTGTTTACTGCTTTCTAATAAAAAATTTCTTGAATTAAAAATTTTTATACTAGAAAGCTGTTTTAGAAAGCAATAAGAAAGCTTATCCCAAACAAAGTCTTAGGTTTCATTTGGGATGACTTTTTTACTGCTTAAAACAACTTTTTAGTGTAAATATTAAAATTTTTGTATGAAAAAGCTGCTTTAAGAAGCAGTAAGAAAATCGTTCCAAACGAAACCTTAGTCAACTCTCGCAGATTTATTAATAGCTAACATATTGCTGGTTGTTGGTTTTTAGGTGGATGGTCGAAAAGATTTTGAAGCAGGAGAAGAGCTTCAAGTCAAGTGCACGAGCTTCTCTGCTAAGGGAATTCCTGTTTTTTCATTGTTGGAAGGCAAGTAATTCTGAAGAGGAAATCCATCTTTTGGCTAACTCCACAACAATGTCTGAGATAAACATCTAATGAATGTGAAAGATGAATATATCGGTTCGATGATCAGTAGTTCTGGCATTTGATGCTGCTTCGAAGATCTATTAGAGCTGGTTCTAAGCTGCTGGTGAAGTGCAGAGCTCTTTCCGACCGTTGGAAGGTTGTAGAATTTGCCTGTATTACTTACTACTAAGCCTCCTGATCCAGGATATGAGAGGCTGCCAGTTTTTTTTTTTCCACCTCCAAAGAAAGACTATGGAAGAGTAAATGATTGGTAGATGAGTTTTTGTCACTGATATTGTTTGTAGATTTGTTTAATAATTAGTTGTTGTTGTTTTTTTTTAATTTAGATGATGTGAGTGAAGAGCAATAGGAACTTTAGCACCTGAATGTTTTTTTTTTTTTTGCATTCCTTATATCACTTGGATGTTGCTTGTACTTGCTAGTTATTATTAGAAGCTTTCAGAATTTGAATTGTTTTCAAATTTATTAAGGAGCTTTTCGGTTGGAAGAATGTAATGTAAACATAATATGTTGAAGTTGTTTGGATGACTGTAAAAAAAGTGTTGGTGATTTTTTTTTTTGGGTTTGATTTGAAGTAAAATAAATGTATTGTAAAGTCCAAAAATAGTGCTGATTTGAGATGGTTGCCGACGGTGACTGACAACGGATGGTGATGTTGGCCGGTAGTGGTTGGTGGCGGCCAGTGGTGGTTAGCGGCGACAGTGGCCAGCAATTGATAGCGGCGACAATGGATAGCAATTGGTGGCAAAGGTGGCCAGAGACGGGTGGTGGATGCCGGCGATGGGTGGTGGTTGCGGTCAAGTGAATTTGCTTGTGGTGTAACTTGTTTTCATTCAAAACTAGATGAGTTCAGTTGTCCTATAAATGAGATTAAATGGTTTACATTAAATTTACTTTTGCATTCCTTTTTGATCAAATCAATCGATAATATTTTCAAAATTGAGTTTGTATGAAATGTGACCAAATAAAACATCAAAATTTCACACAAGAGCAACACCATTGAAATCTAAAATAGGGCAACATTAAACTATGTCGATCTAAATAAAATTCCCAACTATTTCAATGGATGAAATCGGTTCTAAGTCCTTTGAACCTAGCTTCTCACTCCTCCCTTCCTTTTCTCATTCTCTTTTCCTCTCCTCTCGGCTAACGAAACAAATGAAAATGAAATGAATTTTTGAAAGTGAACCTAGATATTTATATAAAATATTTTGCGTAGCGCCGCGACTCCCACTCTTTAGTGCCACAATGCCCTAAAGGTTGAAATCTATCATGAAACCAAAGAAAGATGAGTGCCGCAACGCCAATACTTTAGCACATCACTGCTCCCAAGAGACCCTTCCCACTTATCAATCTCCTATAAATAGAGGAAAATTAGCACCATGATGTAGAAGGGGTAGTGCCCCAAAGGGTTACTTCTAACTTATTCAATTTTCTTTCAAATTCAACCAAGAAAATCAATCCACACAAATATGCAAATCTTACAATATCTGAATTAAAGCCACTACACATAGTTCAATTACTATACAAACAATCATTACAATATCATTATCTATCTGGCCAATCTTTCAAGACTTGTTTCTATTATATTTTCATTGTTGGATTTTACTTCAAGATTTTGATCTCTCTATCCTTTTTTTATTATAGTTGCTCTTATTTATGAATAGTTGAGGACCACTATAATACTATCCTCACTTTCAGCTAGAAATGAGAGCAAGTTTAAAGCATGGGCTTTATTATTAAATTTGATATTAGTAGAGTATAATTATCTCATTATTAAGATAAATTTGTTGATGTGAATGATGATTGAAGTTACTTGGCATTATATATACTTTATTGATAATAAATGGCTTTTTATCTATGATGATCACATAAATATTAAATATTAAACTCAGGCTTTATTTGGGACGGTTTTTTACTCTTCTTAAAGCAGCTTTTTAATTCAAAATTTAAAATTTTAATACTAGAAAGTTGTTTTAAAAAGCAGAAAGAAAGTCGTCCCAAACGAAGCCTAAGATTCAATAGAGTGCATCAAAATTTTATCTTTATGCAAAGTTATAGATAGAGATCAATATACTACTTTATTTATGCAAATGATTAAGAGAGAATACAACCACTTGCTATGAAATATTAATTTGGCATGAAAACGAAGATTTATCTATGCTATTTCTCTCTTACTTTTTCTACGATAATGTTAGTTTTTTTGTGGAAACTGATTGTGTCGATCAATCGGGTTATACTGCTGCCTCAGACCCTAATTCAGTCTGTAGGGGTCACTGGGGGGTTTATAGGCGGTTCTCCCCCTACTTGGGTTTGGTTAAGTATCATGTATGTTTACTAAATTTAGTATATTTTTTCCTCATTAGCACTTAATAAGCATTATGTACTCAAAACTAGACATGTTCGCCTGGCCATGACTTCTGAGCAATACTATTTTTCTTTTGAAATAAGCAATAAAATGCCTCTTTAATCAGAGTAAAAGTAAAAACAAAGGGCAACAAAGGCTTTATGAAAAAAAAGGAATTTTGACTTCAAATGCATCATAGTATAAGCAATTAAATAAATATAAATATAACTAAATATTTTCTAAGAGAAAGATACTTGAAAGTTTCTTTTTTAGAAGTTACTCTCAATGAAGGAAATCCTAAAATACTTCTAATGATTTTTTTTTTTTTGAAATTAGGTTAAACCATTATAAATTTAAGCATGATTCAAACTTTGTTTGATTAGAACCTTGAGTAAAATCTTGATTTGAAATGCATGCGATGTTATTAGGGGTGAGCATGGAAGGGTCTTAGGATGTGTGAAAGAGAAGGGAACTTTGCAATTGGACTGTCTCTTGAAGAGTAAACTTATTGATGCAAGCAATGGTGTGTGAAGGAAGGAATTATTACGTGCGAAGTTCGGATCGGCACAACCGTTCGGCTTACTGAGTATATGGTAGGAAGTGGATGTAATTTCGTTGGATCTTCAATTGGAGAGGAAGATCCGACTCTTCTTAATCCCTAGCCTCCAGCTAGAGCCCAAATAACCTAAAAATGAACTAAATTCAGCAAACTTCCAAAACATAATCTAAAATGTGCCTATTGTTAGTATTAAATAACCTCCCATAATTCCCTCCCAAATCATCACATTTCCCTAAATAATTCGCTTTCATATTTGAATTCAAAATAGATTTATTTCCCTAATTAATTCCCTCCCAATTGTAACTAAAATTTTCCTAAACACCCCCCCCACTAATTCCTCCTTTTCCGTAAATAATTCCCTCTTAGATATTGAATTCAAATTAAATATCTTACTTAAATAATTCCACCCCAATTGTAATTTAAACATCATATATAATTCCCCTTTGATTAAGAACCTTCATTAACTACTCCTTGTTTATTAGGAAACTTCATGATTCCCTCCCAATCAAATTGGCAGGTCCATCAATACTCCCCTCCCAAAGTGTCACCTTGTCCTCAAGGTGGAACGAAGGAAATTGCTACTGAAGCACTTGACTAATAGCATTGGATTAAAAAATGGATTAACACTAGGTTGAATGATCCCTTTCTCTAGCATCTAGCTAATCAACCTCTCAATCTCATCCTTTTGGATTTGGGGATGACGGTACAGACAAGCATTAATAGGTGAGACTCCTTCCTTCAAGATGATATCATGCTCGCATTCCTTTGGAGGAGTCAACCTCTGAACTAGCTGGAACACCTCTCGATACTATTGTTCCTTCCATGCTTTTCAACTCCATAAAAAATCCCACTCCTTCACCCTTTCCTCTCATTGAAAGTGGCTCCAAAGATGACATCACCTCTTCTTCCCCTAAAACTTATGCCTCATGATCCTCCCTCATCATCTCTATATTAGGGTTTCCCCCACTTCCCAGTCCAATCAATGATGCTCTCACCTCCGATGTTATTGGTGGGGTGTGAAGCTCCAATAGTTTCCTTATTATTCCTTTTAGGATGGAAAACATTTCCTCCATTGATGTCATTCTATTATTAAACGTTGATTTGAATTTTCCAACTTTTCTTTTAAAATACTCTTCCAAGGCATCAACTTTCTTTGCTGCCATATGTCCAAAGAAAGTGCTCTGATATCGATCACTTTGATAGGAAGTGAATGCAATTTTGTTGGATCTTTAATTGAATAGGAAGATCCGGCTCTCCTAAATCCCTAGTCATCGACTAGAGCCCAAATAATTTAAGAATAAACTAAATTCAGCAAACTCCCAACACATAATATTAAATCACCTTATTATTAGTCTTAAATAGGCTCTCATAATTCCCTCCCAAATCAACCACCTTTCCCTAAATAATTCCCTTTCAGATTTGAATTCAAATTAGATTTATTTTCCTATGTAATTCCCTCCCAATTGTAATTAAAACTTTCATAAACAACCCCCCTTAATTCCTCCTCCTTTTCCCTCAATAATTCCCTCTTAAATTTTGAATTTAAATTAGACCTCTTGCTTAAATAATTTCCTCCCAATTGTAATTTAAACATTCCTAAATAATTCTCATTTGATTAAGAACCTTCCGAAACAACTCCCTCTTAATTAGGAAACTATTCTCTCCCAATCAAATCGGTCGGTTCATCTGTATACTCAGTAAAAATTACACAAATACTAAACAAATTTTTTGTTGAGTATTTGTGTAGTATTTATTGAGAATACTCAGTAGACATGACGGTTGATCTGATCTGAACCCCGCACTTAATAATTCCTTGTGTGAAGGAGAGAAGAAGTTCACAAATGGAGTTCATTGGGAAGGCACAGTAGGTTGTTGAAATTTGCATATGAGGAGAAATTAGTGATGATAGTTTGTTTCTTATAGGCTTTAATGAGATTGATGCCATGTGAAGAAAGAGAAGTTCACATATGGAGCTTATTGGGGAAGACATTCTAAGATTGGTGACATGCAACTTGTTGAGAAAGGTATCATGAGATGAATGCATGAATAAGATTTCATATAAAGGCATCATAGGATTGAATTTGTTCGAACCTTAGTCCGAGCAAAGATTAGCAATTTAGAACTATAATTCAACAAATAGTTAAAGAAATATTAGAATTTGATCAAGTTTGAATTAGTTTCTTTAGCAAAAGATTTTAATAATTATTTCAGAAATGCAAAGAAGTTAATTTAATCCTAAATAAAAATTTTAAATTTTAATTAATTAGGTGTATCACAAAGCAAATAAAGCCAAAATTTTTAAATTTTTTCTTAATTATTTTCTTAAGAAAAGTGAAAAATACAGTGAACTGTACGGATAAGGCTAGAAATCGTGGCCAAAATTTCTTTCTTTTACCTTTCCTCCGCCATAATGGCACGAAAAAAACTGAAGGGAACAAATTAGGCGGCAGAGGCAGAGCGGCAATCCACCACCAGTGCCAGACGTCCCGGGCCACCCAACCCTGCGATGTTTTAATTGGAAAGAAAAGCAAAGATTTTGTGAAAGCAACAGGAGAAGTAGAAGAGACAAGGGGATGGTGGCGTCGGAGCCACCCCGGTGGAACTCCTCTCAGATATTCGGCGAACGGACTGCGGGGGAGGTGATCGAAGATGGTCAGACTTTTCTTCGTTATGTTTTCAAATATTTCATATCTATATTTGATGGTACATTATATGAATAATTAAGAGTGTTGAAAATAGTGGCTTACTTCCCTCCTTGAAGTCTTCGTTCAGAAAAATCTACAGTAGAAGCTGCCGCAAATATCCATCACCAAAGTTAGGAATGGTGGTCGAGAAGATAGATAATAGATGAACACCTCTCTCTATAAATTCATGTAGTCCTCACGTGTAGGTCATCTCACAAGCTTGTAATAGCTTATGTATATGTGTGAGGGTCTTGTGAGAAATTCTAATTTTTTTCTTCTCCAAATTTATAATGAGTTTGTTGCATCTCGTGAATGTAGATAAATTGCCGAATCATGTTAAACTCTTGTGTTTTGAGTGTATGTTATTTTTCTCTTTTAAATTTTGGAGTTTTAGCACTACAAATTAATATAAGAGACATGTTGGTTCATTCAACAAAAAATTCGAAGTGGCCAAAATCAACTTCTGATTGTACCAAGTGGTAGACCTCATTGCTTGGAGCCTAAGGCTTTGTTTGGGACGGCTTTCTTACTGTTTCATAAATCAGTTTTTAGTACAAAAATTAAAATTATTGTACTAGAAAGATGCTTTAAGAAGCTGAAAGAAAGTCGTCCAAAACAAAGCCTAATAGGCCTAAAGAAATGTCAAACAGATGATATACACACCACTAGTAGGTGTTCAAGGTTTAGTTAATGTGGGTTTAATAAGTAGAAGCTTTCTTCAACTCAATGAAGAATAATAAGACCATCAAACTAGCCCATGACTTGATCTTATTTGACTCGCAACATGCTAGACGCATTCAAACCTAGACATTAAAGTGGTTCCTAATGGTTAACATAGTGGCTAACTACTAAAGTGAGCATAGCAAGTAATTCAAAATTGATAGTGAAGTAGATACCAAAGGTTTAATGCAGAAAACCATGTTATCTAATGTTTATATGATGTCGTGTTAAAAGATTATATTATTGCATTAATATTTAATTATGTGTATTCATGACTGTACATTTGCTCTTACAAATGCTTATATATGAATTCTTTTCTCTTGAATACAATACTCCTTGCCTAATGAGTTGAGCTAAATCACTTCATCATTTTCATGATTGCAAGGTATACTGCTTTCTAGCCTTAGGGTGTGACAAGTTTTACTGCATATACAAGATTATTTTCTTAGAAAGCCTATAAATATGACTTAAATGAGAGGAATTAGAGCTGGAATTTTGCTACACTAAAAATCACCTAGAAGCAATCACAACACTAGATCTTTATCTTTCCTGTTATGTCTCTTCCCTCTCTAATCTCTACAAGAACTGTTAAATGTCGTTGGTTTCTTGATAATAATCAACCATGTTGTCCCAGTAGGATTGAAATTTATTCAGTTTTTGAAAAGCTGATTATATTGATTGCTTCTTTCCAGTTGATATCATATCTGCGATTGAGTTTGCGAGTAGAGGTGAATATCTTGCAACGGGAGATCGAGGTGGTCGTATCGTACTCTTTGAAAGGACTGAAGGAATTAATGTAAGTTGTTTTACTAACTTTTTTAATCATATTTCTATTCTTGTGTATGCTGGAGTTCTATTTAATTTTCTAAGTACTTTTCTCCTTGAAATGTGTATTAGCCACATCCAAGAAAAGAGCTAGAACATATGGATTATCCTACCACAATTCATCCTAGGTACACTTACAAAACAGAGTTTCAGAGTCATGAGCCAGAGGTATATATCTTTTTAATTTTAAGCATAATTTTATATTCTCCCATGCACTATGTGTTCAATTAACCAATATCTTTCTGTAGTTTGATTATTTGAGGAGTTTGGAAATTAGTGAGAAGATAAACAAACTAAGGTGGTGTGCTGCTTCAAATAATTCTCTGTTTTTTCTTTCAACAAATGACAGAACAATTAAGCTGTGGAAGGTAAAAAAATTCTGCTACCCAAACGGTGACAAGCATACTGAATCGATTTCATCTTTTCCCACCTTTTGAATTTTGAATGTAATATAACATTTGGTTTCCAACCAGGTTTTACCATATAAGGTGAAGAAAGTGAAGGAAATGGACCTGAATTCATCAGTTTGTTCTGAAAATACACTCTTGGCTGAGAATAGTTTCTTAGCCGACCAAAATGAATCATGTATTTCAAATGGTTATCGACTTGAGTGGTTAACTAAAAGGCATAAGAGCTTGTCTCCACCAACTCAAGGAGATCCTCGCACGGTAAGATTATTAAAGTCAGACACGCTTCTTCATTCCTGTACATTCATTACAGATGTCTTATATCTTAGATTTGTTAAAAGTTTCTTTCTATAGCTAATGAAATTGCTTGCTCTTTCTTTCGTGGTCTCTTCTATACAATTTACTTTTCATTCCTTTTAACATACATTTAGTTTTGTCCCTTTCAAAGGATGAATGACTTTTTTACTGATTTTATCACATAATAGCATAAATGTAAAAAACTTGTCTTACATTGGATTTAGCTAAACTAAAATGTTTCTGAAATCAGTTTGGCATAGTTATGCATTTTAGAAGTCGGGTAACTTGTTTTGAGCTCAGCACTTGAGAAGTTCAGTATCTGCTTTGTTTTGTCCCATGTTCTTCCTCCTTCACATCCACTTGCTAGCTAATGCTCAATTGCTGGTATCCTGACCCATCTTCTCTTCTCATTTTTTGTTGTTCTATTTCCATTTGTGTGCCATGGTAGCTCCACCCTGCCACGTTTCTTGGGAACAATATCTTGAAATTTAACCATTTTGTTCTCCTACTGTGGCTTTTTATCCGATTTTCTTAATTTTTTTAGATGACTAAGTCTTTCTTTGAACATTTTGTCGTGCTGGTTATATTAGCTATTTGGCATGAAGTCTGCTTTGATAGAGATGGATAAGCTGTTTTACAGGAATTGCCCATTGCTAGGGAGCCATAAAGGATGGGCACATGCATTATAGCGATTTTTATTTTAGGTTTATCATATACATCAAAATTGTGATATGTTAATTTTTTAAAGCAATGTAGCTGAAAGGAATTTGATCTATAACAAAGTGAAAAATCAGCAAGAAAGATGATTATGCACTAATTTTATTGATATCGGCACAACAAACCAGGGTACAAGTTAATATATTATTTAAGAGGTAGATCGACTCTCTGCAACCCTAGGTATTGCTAGGAACAACTCTGAAGAAAATTACTGCAAAACACCAAATCACATAATCCCCATAAAATAACCTAATTAATCCTGAATAAACCTTCATACTTTTCTCCAAAATTTGAATTCAAATAAGCTCTCTTTCCCTAAATAAACCTTTCTAATTCCCTCTCAAATTTGAATTCAAATCTGCTCTTTTTCCCCAAATTAATCTTCCTAATTTCTTCCCAACTTTGATTTTCTATGGTAAGTAATTAAAGGTCAAATTAATCCCATTTGAGCCCCCCTCTCTCAATGCTTGCCGCCAAAACTAGTGAAGCTCATAGGGCTCTTCCACTTGCCAGCTAGATCGACCCACATTGCTGGGGTTTGGTTGATTGGGTGGACCGGCTCAACCGATCCATCAATACTCCCCTCTCAAAGAGCCACATTGTTTTCAAGGTGGAACGAAGGAAATTGTTGCTGAATCATCCTATATGATTCTCATGTTGCTTCATAATCTGACAAATCCTTAGATCAATGCTTCTCTAGCTCCTCAGATTGTCGTGCGAACTCCTCTCACTTCCATTGGCTTCAGGATCACCTCCATTTCTTCTGTCAAGGTCATCAGTAGCATCGCTGATGGACTGTGGTCACTAATATCTTTCATCAACTTGAACACATGGAATACAAGGTGTATGGTGGAAGTAGGGGGTAGCTGCAAACGATATGCCATGGCACCAATCCTCTCCACAACCTCATAAGGCCCATAGTACCGTGGAGACAAATTTTCATTTGTTCTTCGAGCTAAGTTCTTCTGTCTGTAGGGTTGAATTATCAAATACACCTTATCACCCACCTTGAACTGCACATCCCTTCTATGCCTGTCGGCCCACTTCTTCGTAATTTGTTTTGTACACAGTAGGTGCCCCTTTAGCTCTCCCAATATTCTATCTCGTTCCTCCAATTGTTGTTCCACTAATGTCAGTGGAGTGCTCTTGGTCCCATAGTATACTAGGTGAGAAGGGTCTTTGCCATAAATAATTTTGAAGGGTGTAGTTTGTGTTGCACTATGCTAGGATATATTGTGCCAGTACTAGGCCCAAGGTACCACTTCACCTAGGTATTGGGTGCTTCTGATACAAAATATCTCAAATAAGTCTCCATACTCCTATTCACCACCTCGGTTTTCCCATCAGTCTGGGGATGGTATGCTGTACTTCTCTTCAAAATGGTCCCCTGCATCTTGAATAGTTTATCCAAAATTGGCTCAAGAACATCTTGTCTCTCTCTGACACTATGAACTCCAGAATTTCATGTAGGTGGACCACATCTCGATACTGCCGTAGGAGTGACTAAACCATGTTTGGTGCTTTTATCTTCTCCCCATCATCTTCTCCTTCAAATTCTACAGCTCCACCAAAAATCCCACTCTTTCACCCTGGATTGTCCTCACCATGGTTTTGAGTGAAATCATAGTTTTGGATAGGCTAGGATTCCCTCTAATAATCACTCTCCTCCCCTCAACCTTGAACTCCATTGTTAGAGCCTTCCAATCAATCTTGCTCTTCCCCAACTTTTGTAGCCACTTCATTCACAATATCACGTATGTACTCCTCAAATCCAATGACAAAAAATCTTTCAATGATTGAACCTTTGGAAGGATTAGGATCACCCCTTCACAAATTCCTTTACTCACTAGTTTTCTTGTTCCCAGCATAACCTCAAAGCCCCCATGTCTACTATTTTCTGCCCCAACTAATCCATCATCCTGTTGGAAATGAAGTTGTGGGTAGCTCCACTCTCCACCAATACTACCACCTCCTGATGCCCGATCTTTCCCATAATCTTCATGGTGTGGTTCGGTGTGAACTCAACCACTGAGGTAAGGGATACCTTTGCAACCTCTAAGTGCAAGTGATCATTTTCCTCCTATACTTCCTCATCTGCAACATCTTCCTCCTCATCGCAAGCTATTAGGAGCTGTAACGAATGGTCCTTACACTTGTGACCTGGAGCGAACTTCTCATCACACCTAAAGCATAAACCCTTGAACCTTTCTCCTGAATTTCTAACTTAGTCAACCTCTTGAATTTCCCCCCTTGTTGTACTCCCCGACCTTTATCCCTCGGGGCTTCCTTCTGAATAGGAACTGTCTCTACCTTTAGTGCTAGAAATGTAGAGGTTGTGCGGTAGGAGACTCCCGAACTGTTGCTACGGCTACTCCTCTCTAAGGAGTTCTTATTCTCCACCTGGTGGGCTAACTCCATAGTCTCTCCTAAGCCACGTGGTCTCAGTACTCGAACAGTTGCTCGAATCTCAGGTTTGAGCCCCTTCATAAAATTCCCCTCTAGCATGATTTTGTTATATCCCCCATTCATGATTTGTTCTTTTTCTTCTTCTATGCGTACAATTTACTGCAAGTTGAAACAGTTCGTAGGTACATGTTTTCAAAACGTCACTTTTTAGATCTTCTGTAGTACCAAATTCTGCAAATTCCAGGGGTAATTTTTGTTTTCTTCTGAGAACACGCAGATTACCCTCTCTCAATTTGACAACACCAAAGGTTATGATGATTTATTTAGAGATGCTTATAGTTCCTTATATTTTCAGATGTTTAATACTGGAGATGGAGCTTATGCAAGATGCCGGAGGGGTTATACACACGCTCACGATTATAATGTTAATTCAATATCAAATAACAGGTATTTTATGGTTCCAATTATTTATAAGCTTAGGCGCCATTATTTTTTCTGGTTCAGCTCCAGCATTTGAACGACCATTTTATGTATGTTGGTCTACAACTAGCTTCCTTTTTCTCTCACCTGCAGCGACGGTGAATCATTCATATCTGCTGATGACCTCAAAATTAATTTATGGAACCTGGAAATAAGCAATCAATGCTTCAACATTATTGACATGAAGCCTTCAAACATGGAAGATCTCATTGGTAACTTCAACCTTGCACTTGTTTCTAAACCATTATCTGTCGGTCACTTAGGAGTGTCAATATTTGATATGACCTGAAAACCCGACTCAAAGCTGACCCAAAAATTCCTGGTTAGGGTCAATCCGGACCCGAAACGGGTTAGGTTTGGGTTCAACAATTCAACCCGTTTTAAAAAAATTAGGTTCGGGTTGACCATTTGACCTTTGACCTGAAAAACCCGAGATTGACCCCTTTTTGACCCGTTTTGACACGAAAAGCAGAGATTGACTCTTTTTTGACCTGAAAACTAGCAATTTTTTCACGGTTCGGGGTCATTTGGGTCGTGTCGGGTTGACTCGGACCCGAAGAGAGTTGGGTTTGGGCCTGAAAAATCGACCCGTTTGCAAAAATGGGTCGGTTTCGGGTTGATCGGAATAGTGACCGGTCATTTTCAGGTTCGACCCGAATCCATCCTGTGACCCAAGATTGACACCCCCGGGTCACTGATTCATGCATGTTACACAATCTTTAATTCCTATTTGATTTCTAAGCATCAAATATGACAGTCGTACTGTATACATCATCTGTATTCAAGTTTGGAAACTTGTGATGTATCTATAGAAAAATGACATGTAATACACATTTATAGATTCAACCTCTTTTCTCCGTTTTGGACTTGTAACATAGTAGGCTTTCTAATGAAAAAAGCAAGGGCGGGCCGAGTAGCAAACTGCACTTCGACATCCTCTTATGAATCTTATGATGTTAGAATATTATGTTGTTTGCTTCTCCTCCATATAGCAAGGGTTGTCTGGTTAAATTGCTTTTACTGTTCATTTTCCTCTACAATACTTTCATTCTCCATAATATACAAGTAGAGACATTCTGCTTTTAGCATAGCTATTATTCCAGGGTCAAATATGTGGTACAGTTCCTAACAGTTTTCTTAAAACAATAGAAAAAGTTCTTCCAGTAACTTGGAGACAACTTAGAACATCAGGGAAAAACATCAGACAATGTTGGCCTAACAAAACTGTTCAGAAATATCTATTGATTATCCAGATACTTTATGTTTGGTAGAAGCTATAATAATCAGTGAGTGATCGTCTATTCTGTTCTGGCGTTGTTTTGATGTCATATAAATGTTTTTTTATCAGCAATTTCATATTTGTTAAATTCCAAGGTTGGCCTGAATTGCTAAAATCACCAATATATTACATTGTCTGTTTTTCAAGCATTCAGATCCTTTTTTGGCATGAAAGGTTGCATATGTAGGACCATTTACCATGAACTTGTTGCATTGGATGCCTGAATGAACTGCATGCTTTGATTAGATGATATGGAATGGATTCTTTACATATATTTCTTGCTAAAATCACCAATATATTACATTGTCTGTTTTTCAAGCATTCAGATCCTTTTTTGGCATGAAAGGTTGCATATGTAGGACCATTTACCATGAACTTGTTGCATTGGATGCCTGAATGAACTGCATGCTTTGATTAGATGATATGGAATGGATTCTTTACATATATTTCTTGCCCAAAAAATATAATAAATAATTAAATTATTAAAAAAATTGAAGTAGGCCTTGTCGCTCATTAAAGGTCACTAATGAGGCAAGCAAGTCGCCCATTAAATGAGAGACTTACACTGATGTGGCACGTGTGGCCAATCACCAGTTTAATGGGCGATTGGCTTATATTTTGTCTTTTAAAAAGAATTTTTTAGTGGTCTTTCTTTTTATAATCTTAAGGAGAAAATTTACGTAAAATTTAATTTTGATATATATATATATATATATATATATATATATATAAGGCTAATTACCTCATTAAAACTTGCCAATTGTCTTTTATGCTGATTGTTGTATTGGAATACTTTTCAATCTTGATTAGCTCTTTTATAATATCTACAATTAGTATCAAAGTCAGTTATGAGGTTACGAGGTAAAAGTTTGAGCAATTATGAATAATAATGGCTAGGCGAAGATCATCAAATTTAATTTAACAGTTTTTTTATATTAGAAGATACAAAGTGGACATTACTTGTATAAAAACCTTCAGCTAACTTTTTTTGGATGTAAAACTAGCATACATTTAGTGTTGTATATGTTTATCAGATATAAGGTGCTTTGCCTTTAGCATATTAAATGTGAAGAGCACAACTTGAGTGATGAAAGTATTGCTAATTAAATAGGATAATCAATGTTAAACAGTGTATATCTGATGTGGAAATGCTTGGGTTTCATGATGTAGAATATGACTTTATATAGAACATATCATTGATTTCACTTGATTGCATATGATATGAGTTTGTTGAATTTGAAATTAATTGATGAATTTTCTGATTTAAAAGTAGTTTTCATTGCTATTATGAGTGGTTTTACCCTTAGAGATAGGATATAAAATGAGCATATACGTGAAAAGGTTGGAGTAGCTCCAGTGGAAGATAATATTAGAGAGAGTCGTCTTAGATGATTTGGTCACATTAAACGGAGTCCTTCCGATGACCCGGTTAAGAAGTTAAGGTATCATATTTGACTTATGTTAAGAAAGGTAGAGGTAGACCTAAAAAGACTTGGTTAGAAAATATTAGAAATGATCTTTCTTTATTAGATTTAAATGAGAAATTGACTTTTAACATGACACAATGACGAAAAAGGATTCATGTAGTGGGACAAAATTTGATGTTGTTGTAGTGAACTAAACCTTCTGTTGTGTTTGCAGTTCACTTCAACAATCATCTTCATAGTACAACTTGCCAAATTCATATTTGTGTATTAGTCTCATGGAATTTCCATTCAATTAGTGATCTTCCCCCATGTCTACAGGTATGGGACATGCACATGGATGGAGCACCTGTTGCGACTTTTAAGATGCATGAGTTTCTCCTCCCTAAGGTATTTTTCATGTGTAAGACTAAGCATCTAGCGAAATAGTGATTATAGTGGTTTGAATGTTTAATGTTTCCTATTGATAACTATAGATACAATTCCAGTGCTGTTTCAGTCAAATGTATTAAAACTTTTCTGGGATCCTGTGGCATTGTAGACAGACTATTTCCTTGACAATCCAGCAAAAAGAGCCATGATTGTGATAGGAAGTGATGCAATTTCAGCAAAACCCAAGAACAATATAGGAAATTTAGGAAGAACATACAAGAACTCTTTTCATTGAAAGAAGTCAAGAACTAAGAAGAAAAATACAAGATGCAGTTGGATCTTCAATTGGAGAGGAAGATTTCGAAGATCCGGCTATAATAAGATGCACATAAATACATCAAATTATATCATATAGTGACAAATAGATAGAAAAGAATTTATTCCTAATATAACAGAGAAGGATTTACACAAATATCACAAAATTCTTATGTATTTATATATCTAATATCTAAACCTTTATATCTACTTAGATAGAAGTTTATGGTTAAATTATATTAAAGCTATGCATGAAAATATGTGTTTGTACTTTTAAATAAGTTAAAATTAATGATGTATATGATGTGATTTAGATATCTTAGTATTATATAAGCAAAATAAAAAATTGTGTTAAATATATAAATAAATAAAAATTTTGTAAATCCCCTTATAAGAAATTATTATAGATCTTGCATATTTAAAGTATCATTCAAATAAAAGAGCAACATCTTATGGCATAAGAGCTAATTATTTGTAATGTTTTGAATGGATCATAAGGTATTGTCAATGAATAATAAAATCTCAAGTTCTTAGATCACATCGGATAATAGTACATGAGGCGGTGGTGTATACATAAGAGTGCATGGTGTGTCGAGGACTATGATAAAGATAAGTTGTTGACTTCTTTTTCAGCACCGGTTACTTGCATGGTCTTGCCACTTGCACTTCGTAGGTTGACATACTTGTCGTTCACCGAACTTGTTGGGGGTCTATTTATTGATCTCATTTTTCGCTTTTGGGCCATCGAGTGTGCATATTTTCTCGTGATTAAGCCGGATTAGAGCTCGAGTGGGCTCGACCGTGCTTGATTGACTCGATTGAGCCACGACGAGCTGAATTCAAGTCGAATCAGTGTCATTTTGAACTTAACTTCATTAAAATTGCATTAATCAAATCATACCAAGTTCTAATTTACCCGGATCAAGTCGAATTTGACTCGATTACGCTCGATCAATGCATACTAGCCGCGTCAAGCCCGGTTTGACCTAAATCGACGCTGATTTGAGTTCAATTTCGCCAAATTAGAGTGATCAGATGAATCTGAGCCCAAATTGACTCAAGTTGAGTCAAATTGATTGTGGGTCCAATTCAGATTTGACCCAGGCTAGCTCAATTGGCATAAGCTAAATTCCAATTAACTTTTTAAGTTAATTACACAACTCTCCTTGGCCTATTTGTTGAGAGCTTAGGCTTCCAACTAAGAGGTCTAAGGTTCGAGTCTTTGTGTATGCGTTGTGTGTGAGTTTGCCTTAAATGGCCTAAATGTCCCAAAAAAAAAAAAAAAAAAAAACTTTTTAAGTTAATTTGAATGTGTTGCCAAATCAGGAGGTTCGATCAAGCGGCTGAAATTGAATTAGAAGCTTCCCAACGTCCTTCTCTGGACGTCTGTGATTTCCAAGAGCCAGCAGACCCTGCATTTTTTTTTTCTGGTCAGCTCCACTCAAGATGGCCGAAGCCCTCCCGTTTCCTCCCCATTCTTTCGCACCTCCCTCTCTCTGGCCTCCTTCGCCTCTCTGGTATTCGCACGCCTCAAGCCCTAGCTGACCTTTCTCCCTCTGTGTGCTCTCTCCGGTCCGAAATCTCCAGCCGCCTACCAGCCCTTTCCGTCTCCCTTCTTCGCACACCGGAGACCGAAGCCTCCCCCATTTGCGATTCCTCCGCACTCTCGTTCGCGACATCAAGAAAGCCGAAGCCTTTGATCTTTCTCCCTAACCGACCTCTTGAAGTTTGGACCGGTTCGATTCCACCTCAGTCCTCTAGACCTCGACCTCCAACTTTCCCTGTCATTCTTGCCGCCGTTCAAGTGAGAGGCTAAAAAAAAAGGGAGCTGTTGGGTTTTCTTCCAAGCTGAAGTAGAAAAAAAAGGACAAATTATTGCATCCGGTCACTGGACACGGAAAATAGGTTCGGGCATCCAATAAAAATTTGTCACGTCACTTGCACTTTTGACTGCGCTTTTGATTTGCGCTTTGACTGCGTTTTGACTGCGCTTTACCTACGCTTTTGACTGCGCTTTACCTGCGCTTTTGACGCACTTAATTTAAAATAACATTTTATTAATATCTGGACCTATCTCCGCGTCCGGTGACCGGATGCAATAATTTGCCAAAAAAAAGAGAGGTATATTCAAACCATTAATCTGTAGCTTCTTTCAAGTTCCAAGCTGATAACAGTATGTTTCAGTAGATTGGGGATGTTCGTTTCTTTCCTTTCAAATAAAATCTACATGAAATGAGTTTCTGGCTTAGAGGGATTAACGTTAGTAACATTTATTTGTAAAAAAATGTGTTTTGTCATTCCATTAGAAATAAGCTTATTTGTTTGAAGCATTTTCATTGGCAGATACTTTGTATGCATAGTTCTCTCATGGCTTGCATGAAAACCATTGCTTTATTATGGCTCATATGAAATTGTTGTACCTTTGTGGTTATTAAAAAATTATACATGCTATTTTGGAGCCTAGTTGTAGATCTACTATTCCAATTAATGGCATAACAGTGAATGGAGTGAGCTTCATGGTTGTGATGTCCCAGAATCTAAATTGGAAGAATTATTCATTTATCTTTTAAATAAATAACAATCAGAGCTATCTAATATCTTCTATCAGTATTAAACAACAAAAGAGATTCTATAATTCAAAACATCATTGTAAACATCTATGTGGGCTCCGAAAAATTCCATTTTGGATGTGTGATCCTGGCCTCTCTGCATCATCGGTCTATTTATTTTTAAGTGTTTGTGAGACGATGACGGCAGAGAGTTTTAACGAGATTAGGTTCTGGGGGAATTTTCAGAAGGCAGATTGGGTTTTAGATAAGTCTAATATCTTCTATCAGTATTAAACAACAAAAGAGATTCTATAATTCAAAACATCATTGTAAACATCTATATTAATTTTAAAAAATTATATACAATACTTAGGATCTATAAAATCATATCACAAGTACTCTATCCTGAGTATAAAAGAATAACTAGAACAAAAAAAAAAGAATATGAAGAATCCTAATCAGTTTCACATTCCTGCTTCTCTGTCATGACCTGAAATCATTTAACCACATATAATGAGCTTAAAAAGCCTAGCAGGTCACTAAAACCTATAACTGAATTTAAAGCACGACAAATGAGCAATATGCATGTTAACAGTCAAATCATAACACTTACATATATGTATATAAATATATACACAGATTAATACCTACACATATTTATAACCTATGTATAAATGAACATAAAACAATACTAATAATAGTATTAGATACAAACCTAACCTAAACTACATGAGGATTAGGTTGGGCTATGAAGAGAAGGCGTCGGGTTAAAGACCTGCAGTAGGAGCAAGAGTCGGACAAGGGGCAGGGTTGAGCGGCTCTAGTGGAGGATTCGGCTGAACCTGAAGTTGATTGGCTATAGGGGTTTGCGGCTACCTAAGGAACGGAGGAAGGAATGGTGGCTCTGGGTCGTGCGTGGCTATGTTCAGTTGAGGGAATAGGAAGGAGTGGGGCTGTGGTTGGATCGACGAATGAATGTCAACGGGGCTGTAGCAGGTTAACGGGAGGAAGATAGGGTTCAACCTGGGGGTCTTCCTACTCGAGTGGCTAGAGGTCATGGATGTTGAGGGAGTTGGACAAGGAGCTGTTGTGGAGGGGGAAATCGGGAGGATTCGGCAGAGAGGAAGAGGTCGATGTTTGAGGGTTGTAGAGGGATCGAGACAGAGGTAGGTTCGGCTAAAGGAGGAGACGTCAAGCTTCCTAGGTTGGATCAGATATCTCAAGGGAATCAGGCGGGAGGTTGGGTGAGGCGTCGAAGGAAACTGGAGAGTTCTGCAACTGGATTTGGCGTCGAGATGCTTGCGACAAAGGCTTTGATGGGAGGAAGAGTGATTTTCACGTGGGAAGGAAGAATAGAAGGCTTCGTTTGGCTCGGCATTTAACGACCATTTGGCACAATCGACAAGCTGCTGTGCGGAAAATCCAGGAGGAGGTCGCTTCGACGCCAGGCGCATAGTAACTCCGCGGGATTTCTTGCGGGATTTGCGGAGATTTGGGCGGCATTTCGATGGATACGAGGTTTGTCTAATTTCCTTTCTTGTTCTTTACACATAGGTCAACAGTGGTGAGGACATTTTTTTCCCTTTGAGCATCCAACCCGCATTTTAGTAAGTACTGAGTAGGGAAGAAAACACCTAGAACCAATTGTACAAAGTTTAGCCCCTTCTGCTTAATAAATACAGAGGAAAAGACAAGCTTTCTCAGCATCTGTGTAGTGTTATATTTCTCCCTGTCTTCTTCTTTCGCTTTCCATTTCAATTCCTATTTCCTGAAGCATCTCTTCTAGTTGAAATCTACATAAAGCTCCGAGGCGCTAAACTTGGCGTCAACCAATAATGACAAACTATAATAGACAAGTGGAAATATTTATTTTCGTCATAAATCACAAAGTCTTGGTGTGATTATTCAAATTCAAGAAAAAGATGCAGGATTGAACTTCAGACGTTGCCTCAATAATACCATCTCATGCACTTTCACTGAATATGTATTTTGATTGTATGCTTTGAGCCCTATGTCTCCGAGAAACATTAGTTGGGAGCAGTTCTCAAGCATGTAAAGTTTTTACTGTGAATCGGTGGCTTGCAAAATATCAAGTAATTCTGACTTCTATACCTGTAGTTCTATATTAGACCGGTCCACGCGGGACTCGCCAAGTGGAACAGAGGCGTAGTTTCCGCCTCTTCCTATACGCGGGATCCGACCACCGTTTTCTACAGAGCAATTTAGGAAGATTTTTGAAAGAATTTTAGGAGGAAATTGAATGGTAGGGATTGTTTAGGGATTTTCTTTTGATTCGTATGCATTAAATAATTTGTTTTCCTAGGGTTAGGGCTATCTTGAATTTGGCTGAAATTTGAGATCTCCTAGATTTAGGTTTTTCTTTGGGCTCTAGCGGCGTCTAGAGATTTGGGAGAGATCGATCATCCTCTCGAATAGAGGATCAATTGTATCTTGCTATTTTCCGTTTCCCTTTCATCAAATAATACAAATTCTCTGCTGTTTTCGTGGTTTTGTGCGGATTTTTGTGTAGAAGCTCGCTGTTTTTCGAAGATTGATAGGAAATACTTGAGATCTACAAGTGTTCCCTATCATTCTACTTTTAAACTTGTATTTTTCCTGCAAATTATTTTCATAATTGTTAATTCCTTTCAGTTCAGTGCTAGCATTCTATCTTTTTTATTGTCATTGACAGATTTTTAATGCTTTGTTAGCTTTCTGAGTTGTACAATAATGATTCCATCTTTGACAAATTTGATTGCTGCCTCAGTAGTGATGGCCGTCAATTTGCTAGCGGTTCTTACAGGTTGGTTATAATTGTTAATTTTGGCCGTTTTTATCCCTTTTAATGTTCACTTTTCATATTTTTGCTAATATATTTTCATTCTTATGGTTATTAGCAATACATTCAGAATTTTCTCTCGTGATGATGGGCATGAAGTTGGACTTGTATTGAACGTTAGCAAAAATGCACCCAGGTGTGCTTTTTCACCACCTTATTTATCTGATGAACTTTGTGCCACAAATATATTTAAGTAACTTTATGATATCTTTTCAAGCTTAAGTGATATTTATCATAAATTTCTCTTATTGAAAGATCATAGAAATAAAAAATGATCATATAAATGAGGATATAATTTCTAGAGTCAATGCTAGGCTATGATGCACGGACACGGACACGGCGACACGGACACGACACGACACGGACATGGGACACGGCTTTTTTTTGAAAATATAGGACACGGGTACGGCACGGACACAGCAATACATTTTTTTATATAGTGTATATATATTAATGTAATATCATATTAAAAATGATAAACAATAATAAATGAATGACATGATAACTTGTCTAACTTATAATATAAAATATTTAATACAAAATATCTAATACAACCACAAAAATATAAGCAAATAATCACTTACTACAACATCAAGCATTCAAGCTTCAACTATTAGGATTAGCTTTAGAGGTTTGTTTTTGGCCTTCAATATCATCATTGGAGTTCATTCACATAGGTTTAAGAGAGTAGTCAGAATACAAAGATTGTGTGCCTGTTGATTGTAGAAACTGAATTCATTATTGATGCAATAAAAAAATACAAGGGTTGCTAGATTGCATATAAACTAGGTCTTCCTTTAAAACAAAACAAACTTACAACCATATAACTTAAAATCTACACAAAAGCTTAAATAAAATTTAATAAGACAAAACAACACCTTTAACTTACACGACCAAAAACATATGGAACTCATAAAAAACACCTAAAGAAGCTCTTCATTGATCGAGAAGAAAGATACAAATGGGGTGGTCACTTGCGGAGAGAACAAGTAGATAAGAAGCCCGAGACGAAGTCATAGAAGAAGGAGAAGACAAAGAGGCATAGCTCGCAAGCTATCCAAAAATACCCTCAGGTTTTCATTCCAAATATTCACTCATAACACACCTCTTTTTATGCATCAAAACAACCCATATATATAGGTGAAAAGAGGAAGCCAAACAGCCTCAATTACCTCCAACCGAACCAACCAGAAAAAGGGAAACAAAAAGCCAACAGGCAGCTCCAGGAGCAGCATCTGAAGGGACCACACGGGGAACATGAACGGGCAGCCACGGGACAGGATCCAGACGGAGAAAACCGAAAGGTCAACAGAGAGGGGATGAACTAGGACATCCAATTTATGAGCTGAAAAGGCATTTCACTCAACATAATGAGCTGAATTTAGAAGAAGAACACAGCAGCTCACAAAAGGAGCAACCAAGCCCAAATCAGCCCAAAACTAAGACACATCAATTGCCCCCTCCTTTGCCTACATCAATTATTCTATTGTAATTTTCAGTTGCACTCAGTTTGTGCTTGCTATACTAGGCCTGAACTTAAACTAGCTTTCATTGTGCCAATGTGTTTTATTTTATTTTCCTGATAATCGATAACAGGCTTTAATACTACCAAGCAATTTTATCAGAATGATTCATAGTATATTTGCATGATTAGTTAGTCAACTTGGCTACTTATATTTATTTTTTATTTTTCTCTTTTTTTTTTAATAAATCATATTCAATGCAAGTTTGTTTATCTTGGACTACTTTTGTTATGTTTATTTATCTTTATTTGTTTTAGTCCAGATTACAATAAACAATTTCCTTGGTCTCTCTTGGCTCTTGCATTAGTAAGTCATGAATTTTATTCTCCTATTGTGGCGTGGGGTTACTTGCCCAATATATTTATAAAGTTTTTTTGGTACAAAAATATATCAAAATAGGAAGAAATTTGTCTAAAACAAGAAGATTTCTCATATATGTTATTTAAATAGAAATATATGAGGAAAAAAAAAAAGCTCATGATATCCTAATCAAATTTGTGATGCAAATGAGTCTCAAGCTCCTTAAATTTGCTTTGACATTTGTGCAATTTAAATTTTGATTAATTTCTCATATATTACATCGATCTGAAAGTAAATCGAATGGCATGCCTTATAGTCCATGGGAAAATTATTAGGTCCGGATACCGGACGTAAAGATAGGTCCGGACTTCAATAAAATATTGACATGTGGAATGTACACGTGTCTGTGAAATTTTAAGTTAAGCGCGCTAAAAGCGCAGGTAAAGTGCAGGTAAAGCGCAGTCAAAGCACAGCCAAAAAGCACAGTCAAAGCGCAGTTCACGTGGCAAATTTTAAGGGATATCCGGACTTATTTTTAGGTCCGGTGTCCGAACTTATTTTTAGGTCCGGTTTCCGGACCTAATAGTTTCCCATAGTCTATGCTAAAAGTCTTCTTATTTTAATACATTTTGTATGGATATCAATAACTACATTGACCATTTAGTTGATTTACCTGCATTGATCACCCAGGTCATCTCATTCTACTAATCCTAGAACTGCAAGAAGACTGCCAGGCTTTGCATGGGGAAAGCGAGGTTCCAGATACCTTTTCATTAATGCTTGATAACCATTTTTCTCCCTTTTGATCCAATCATTTTAAATAAAAATTTCTCTCCATTGTTTGACAGGAAATGATAATTCTGGCTGTGAAATCAGAAGTATTATTCCATGTGATTTCACGACCAAAGTGATCCACATGGCCTGGCATCCTACAGCAGATATGATTGCCTGTGCTTCTGCAAATACTTTGTATATGTACTGTTCCTAATATTTTGAGGTAACTTGATTACTTTTTGCCAGATTTTAAATTCACACCGAATGGGAAAATCATAGTTGTAAGCTATGAAAGTCTGGAAGCCGGTGATGAATAGGATTGTCAATATTTGACACGACCTGAAAATTCGACTCGAAAATTTCAGGTTAGGGTCAACCCAAACTCGAAATGGGCCGGGTTCAACAATTCGACCCATTTCAAAAATCGGGTCGTGTTCGGGTTGACCCTTTGACCCGAAATTGATCCATTTGACCTAAAAACCCATTTTGACCCGTCAACCTGAGATTGACCCGTGTTGACCCAAAAAAGCGGAGATTGACCCATTTTGGACCCAAATACTAGCAATATTTTGTTGGCACCGGGTCATTCGGACCGTGTCGGGTTGACCCAGACCTAAAGCGGGCCGGGTTCGGATCAGGAAAACCGACCCGTTTTTTAAAAATAGGTTGGGTTCAGGTTGACCCGAAAAGTGCCAGGTCAATTTCAAGTTCGACCCAAATCTGACCCGTGACCCGAAATGGACAACCCTAGTGATGAACATATCCCTTGCTTATCACTTTCGGCTTGAATAAGTAAACATTTTTTTGAACTCTAAATCAGAAGTTTCAATTCTCTATTTAAATTTATTAAAAAATGAACACTTTCATAAATATACTTGAAAAAATCACCAATTACGTGTAAATATTTAGTTTTACAATGCTTAGAAGGAATTGTAATATGAAGATTACAAGCTTTTATATTGCAATCAAAGTAGAATTCTTTTTGAATCTTAAGAATCATCGGAGAAAATTGGCAGAGCCAAACAAGCTGCTTTAATTGTTTCTGTTATTCCATGTGATTTTACAACCAAAGTGATCCACATGGCTTGGCATCCTACAGCAGATATGATTGCCTGTGCTTCTGCAAATACTTTGTATATTTACTGTTCCTAAGATTTTCAGGTAACTTGATCACTTTTTGCAGGATTTTAAATTCATACCGTTTATAGGAAAATCATAGTTGTAAGCTATGAAAGTGTGGAAGCAAGTGATGAATAGGGATGTCAATATTTGACACGACTTGAAAATCCCACTTGAACCCGACCCGAAAATTTTGGGTTAGGGTCAACCCGAACTTGAAACGGATCGGGATTTGGTTCAACAATTTGCCCCGAGTTTCAAAAATTGGGTCGGGTTCGATTGACCCTTTGGCCCGGAATTGACTTGTTTTGACTCCAAAATTCATTTTGACTCGGCAACCTGTGATTTACCCGTTTTGACCCGAAAAAACGGAGATTGACCCGTCTTTGGACCTCAAAACTAGCAATTTTTTGTTGACACCGGGTCATTCGGGTCACGGACCTGAAGTGGGTCGGGTTTGAGTCCGAAAAATTGACCCATTTGTAAAAATGGGTTAGGTTCGGGTTGACCCGAATAGTGCTGGATCAATTTTGGGTTCGACCAAAACCCGCCCTAGACCCGAAATGGACAACCCTAGTGATGAACATATTCCTTGCTTATCACTTTTGGCTTGAATTAGTTAACATTTTTTTGAACTTTAAATCAGAAGTTTCAATTCTCTATTTAAATTTACTAAAAAATGAACACTTTCATAAATATATACTTGAAAAATCATCAATTACATGTAAATATTTAGTTTTACAATGCTTAGAAGGAATTGTAATATGAAGATTACAAGCTTTTATATTGCAATCAAAGTAGAATTCTTTTTGAATCTTAAGAATCATCGGAGAAAATTGGCAGAGCCAAACAAGCTGCTTTAATTGTTTCATCTAATTGCTAATTGATTAAATAATAGGAGTGAGGAAACCATTTTTTGAGCAAATAATGCTTCAGCTTTATTATCAATGGGAATACAGCATAACAGGGAGCATGCAATGCTGTAACAGCCAAGTACCTGTAGGAAACAGGAGAGATAAGTTGTATCAGAAAGTTACAATATCAATAATAATAGTTTTTGCTGATATAATTACATAAAAGCTTCATTTCATAGTTAAAATAAGCACATAAATCACATATTTGTTTTGAAATATACACATAAGCATCACTTAAATGCTAAGTTGACTTAAAATGTACAAATGAATCTCATATATGGGGATTAAGTGTATATTTTAGAAGTACATGGAGGCAATATGCCATCAAGGGTTAATTTATAATTCCCATAGTTCTTTTTTCTTGTTGATCTAACAAAATAGTCACAATTTTTAAGCTAACATTAAGTTTTAGTCTAGAATAAAGAGCGAAGTAGAAATATAACAAAAATGTTGCGCTGGAAAGGGTAAGGTTTTTATAATATGTATTGTTGAATTCAAATTTATTCGTGGATAATTTCTTGATCCTACGCATAAGACTAGCTAAAAGCTATTTTAGAGCCCAAAAAAATAAAAAAGAAATGTGTGCAAGGAGAGAAGCTTTGTTCCCCTTTGTGAATATGATAGGAAATATTTGAGTTCGCAAGTAACCCTACGGGTAATACTTGAGTTCGCAAGCAAACCTACCTCCAATTGGTGAAAACAGCAAGAATGATGCAAAATCAGGGCAAAATCAGCCCCAAATGATTGCAATAAGAGAAACAAAGCCAAGCAAAGACAAAACAAGATACAATTGATCCTCAATTCGAGAGGAGGATCGTCTCTCCCAAATCTCTAGACAAGAGAGTCTAGAGCCTAAATGTCAAGAAACCCTAATTTACAATCAAATAAAACATAAACATCACTAATTCCCTCATGCACTTTAATACCCAAACTTTTCTAATCTAATTTCCCTCCCAAAAACCAAGCTGCCCCCCTCTATTTCATTTGAACTCAATTAGATGGGGCGGGCCCCATTTGTTTGGCGGAAAAGCTAAGAGGAGGTGGACTTGTTCCGCCTCCTGTACGTTCGTTTAGCCGGCCAACAAGCCGGCTGGGCTAGTTCAATTTGAACCGGCGTAACAGAATAATAACTAGCATGAAGTCTAAAAAGTACCTCTCAACCTCATATTTATAGAGTTAGGAAGGCTATAAGAGAGGCCACATCTAAGAAATATATAATCTGGCTGTTATAGACATATGGACAGGACTATGATGGCTACACATGGAAATCCACCTTTATGCCCTGAGATGAATTTGGTAAGTGCTTTCAATGAGTAAGTCATGTGGTTGAGTTGCTGACTGGTTCAGTAAAGTCTTTATTGTTGAGTAGAGGTGGGTGAGCATTTGCTGCATATTGGGAGAGTGGCCTTTTGTTAAAGGCAGGTTCTCTGTTGATTGAGGTTGCCTTTTGGGAGGGTGAGTTCCTTTTGGGCAAATTCCTCTTAGGGAAAGTGGTCACCCTGGATGAGTGTTTTTGGTGCGAGTGCCTATCTTCTGGGACGAGTATACTTTGGGTGAGTGCCCTAACCTTTGATTTTTTAGTGATCTCATCTGATCCTTGCGACTCGTTTAGATTCTTGTATTGGAGTGGACATTTAATTCTCCAATTTTCTTGTATTTTTAAAGAGAGATTTGCAAATAGAACAAAAGAATTAAACAATTGCATTTGTTATTTTCTTCTTAGGGGGTGAGTGATTCCTCTTGGATGGGTTCACCTAGGCTAGTATGCATGACCTTTGATTCTTTAGTGAGCATATTTGATCCCAACGTCTCTCTTTGATCTATGTATTGGGATGCCCATTTATAAATTTAAGATATTTTATCCCAAATTTATAGTGGCAAGAACCACCCAACCAATTTGGTTCAATTATTTTTCTAAGGAATGGATGTGAGTGTCAGTAGTATCCTTTTATTGATACAATTTATAAGTCAGACAAATGGGTTCACATATTCACTTGGTATCATTGGACTATCACTAGCTGGATGAAAATCCTCCTCTTGTTCAATGTATCATAAATAAACAATTAAGTATAAAATGTATTATAAGAATTGACTAATCAATTATAAGAATCAACATTTGATTAAAAATAATTTTAAACATAATAAACTTATATGAGCATCAAACTTATCATCCTCTCTTGATGTTTAGTGTACTTGGTTGTTCCCCTATGAGAGAAATTCTCCCCTTGTTTACAAGGTTTCAACAACATCCTCAGTAAACAAGAATTTGATAAAATAACAAATTATAAGGCTACCATCAAGTCAAACATGATCAAACAAGATCATTTTTGTATTTAACTTGTTAAATAAATGAGCTTATAGATAAAAGACAAATTTAAGTGAACCATCAAGCTGAATATAATCAAACATGACAATAAATGACAGTCCTAATACTTTGCAAAGAAGAATTTGGTAAAATACATTCTGCAGCATAAATTTGAAAATCTATAAGAGCACAAAGCTTTCTAGGCAAGAAAATTATACCAGATTGGGGAATGAGCTGATGACAAGTCAAGAAATGGGTAGGGCCACCTGTGATTCAAAAGCTTAGAAGAATTTAGAACATATAAAACAAACAATGTCAGAAGTTGCAGAATCATTATAGGAGGAAAAAGCTACCAGATTGAGATACAAGCATGAATTATCCATTGAAATATCACATAAATGGATGTCCATAGCATGAAATATGCAATCCTGAACCAAGGGAATAGCTACCACAACAATGATAAAAGAAAATAAAAAATAGAACATCAATAGTGTACATGGAAAATACTTGATCCACCATCATGGAAAAGGAAGAAGACATTTACCATACTATTCAAGGCTGTGTCACCAATGAGGAAGACCGCATTTAGTGAGTGCATTCCTATTTGTAGCTGCAATTCCAATTAACAAGATATTAATATTATTTGCTATAAATTATATAAGGTAAAAACTACTGAATAAGAAAATTTCTAATTAAATTAAGATAAAATTCAAATTTAGAAGGTAAATATTTCTAATTTTCTCATGATAATATTATTTTTGCATTCAGTTTCATTGAATTATGTGTAAAAATTATGCTACATCTCAATCCTTAACATATGTCTCAATGTTTTTCTTTTACTAATGTTCTTTTCAACAAATACTTTATATTTATGATAAAAGCAATTCTAAAAAAAGCTCAATCTTGCCATGACATCAAATTGCCATTTATTGCTAAAAGAATTGTTGATAGTTTGTCTTAATTTGAATGTAAGAAAATAATTATTAAATAAGGATGGCAAAGTTAAGATATTCTAGGGTAAATTTGGAAAGCTAAAATTTTCACCACCTCTCCTATAGCTTATATACAACTATATAGTTAGAGGATGATTGATCTGAAATAAAATAGCAATAAGGACAAATGTGGTGCGATGCTTTTATATAGTCATAGAGCATTGTAGTACATATGTTACAAAATTGCATTAGAATTAAAGAACTAAAGGTACAATGACATATAAGCACAAACATCAGTAAACATCAGTATGAAGTCATAGATACAAACACCATAAAGCAAGGGGAGATCCCTACTTTATTTTGTAAGGGTGCAATTGGCCCTTCTCGATTTTAGAAAATATGAATACAATATAGGTTATTTAAGAAAAATAAAATGTTTGTCTTATTGCAGGGGTGTCAAAACGGGTCAGCTGATTAGAATTAGATCAATTCGAATTCGACCTGTTTAATAAATGAGTAAAAAAATGGACTGAAAACAAACTGATAATCTGTTTTAATTAAAAAAAAAATATATTTTTATTAACTTATTAACAATAGATTTTAGGTTAATTGATAAAAAGAGAGAAGATTATGCCAGCAAATAAAAGAATTTAAGGAAAAAATATTAAACGGATCTTTTCGGGTCAAAATTAAGTCAGCTGGGCTGATTTTCTTAATGGATCAGTTCTATTATCGTTCAACTCATATTGCACCCCTTCAGCGGACGGTCTTCAGTCAAGAACATTAAGAATCGATACCATTTCATATATGGTGTTTTCAATACCTAATTATTGGCTATGTATTAAATATAGTGTAACAAAGATCTAAAGAACTGATCTTGTTTCCCAAGCGACTAAGGTTGTATAAATTATATGCACAAACGTAATATTTGAAACTGTAATAAGAACTAGAGGTAATCAAAAGCATGAAACAGACTGTATAACAACCACTTTAATTCTCATACTCATACAGTTTTCTGTGTCCAAAAGGCTAGTTTCATCAGAATTAACACTTTTCAAGCCATCATAGATTTAAGATTATAAACATGCATGAATTACAGAACAGGATTACTTACAAAACTGAGATCATAATCTTTGATGGTTAGAAACGGAAATATGATAAGCCAAAAGACGAAATCCGTGAGCATGACAGCACCTGCATTTGTCTGTCACAGTTGCAAGGGGCAGATGAGGTGACTTCCATAACCATAGGAAAATGCAAACATACAAGCTCATAGAAATAATATTAACAACTAACATACATATCAATTCCATATAAAGTAGGAGAGACAAGTTTCATAAGCAAACCTACTTAACGTTATACTTGCAAGATGAAAGCTTTATATCATTTCCTTGACGTAGTCATGCAGAAAAATTAAATTACAGTAAACTATATTGAATAAGCACAAAAAACATTCTTATTGAACTCATATTCAAATGATGGTAGACTTCTTTATAATCTTGCTAATTGCACGCCATTCTAATGCTTTACTGCTCAAATAAAATGAAGAGAGAAATGGAGCAACTATATCATCATTATAAACTTGCTAATTTCCCTTTTTAAGACTTCATCATCATTATCATGTGATTAGAGTAAAAGGATGAGTGACTTTACTCTTAGAGATAGGATACGAAATGAACATATACGTGAAAAAGTTAGAGTAACTCCAGTGGTAGATAAGATTAGAGAGAGTCGCCTTAGATGCTTTAGTTACATAAAACGGCAGCCTTCCGATGTCCAGGTTAGAAAAATAGAGGTATTAGATTTGACTTATGTTAAGAAAGGTAGATGTAGACCTAAAAAGACTTGGTTAGAAAATATTAGAAATGATCTTTCTTTATTAGATTTAAACAAGAATTTGACTTTTAGCAAGACACAATGGAGAAAAAGGATTCATGTAGCTGACTCTACGTAGTGGGACAAAGGCTTGATGTTGTTGTTGTAGTATCATCATTATCATGTGAAACCTACATTAGTGGCAACAATAAGTAGCTATAAATTGTGGGAGCTTATATAAAAAATTATGGTGTGTTTCTGTGTTTTATTTTTCTTTTGTTTATTTTTTCTTAGTAATTTGAATTAGATCTTGCCTAATTTCCATCACATGCAGCTTTTGTTAGGCATGTGCGATGCTTGTTGCTGTTGCAGTGTGCATGCAGCTCCAAACAAACCCAGTTCTTGATTGGAGAACTAAAACAAACATTTTGGCCTCAGCTTACCATTGATTATAAAGGAGGTATGCCACAATTTCTATTTATGTTTACTCATCCAATCCCTTGTGCCCATTATTAAGGCACTCAAATGGAACAGACTTGCACAAAATAAAGTTACTTTACAATGCTTCAATTCAAGAGCAAGATTCTTGTCTGTCGCACTGTTGCATATTGGAATATCAGGAGGATTTTGACTCCATGCATATTTAATTAGAAGATTTTTTTTTTGAACTTCTAAGTCATAAGATAATATGACCGTTGAACAGTGACTTCTGACATAAAAGCATAATCATAATCACAACTGTCAATGCTTGTTTCATGAACAGTTCAAGAAAGAATTGAATTTAAGTTATAGACCTGATAGATAATTTGGAAGAGATAGCCACCTAGATTCACAATTTTCTGAATATTCAGGTTCTCATGCAGTCCACGATTCTTCACTGTAAGAGTGCCATTTGCAATTTCAGAATTTGTAGGTGAAACAGATATGTCACCCTCAGGATCCAAGAGTAAATAATCAATCCTATCATCATTCATTTTTGCATATTGAAGGCATCCATAAGTAGACAACAACGATCCAAGCTAAAAGATGAAGCCCAAAGTGAAAAAAATAGGAAATATCAAAGCAGGCCTTTTGAAAGAAAATTCAAAAAGACTCTAAAGAAAACTTTCCTGCCATAATACACAGACAAATAGATTTCTCAAGTGCCAAATTAATATAAATAAATGAAAAGTAAAATGTAACATACCCCAAAATATACTGTTACCAGGAAAAATGTCCACCTGTGAAACAGAAACTATCAACTCAAAATATTTAGAGAATTTATCTGAAAAATCCAAGTAAAAGGGAGTAAAAAAATGACACCAACAGCAAAAAGGTTTTGAAAGTGGGGTGATACAGTTTATGCAACATATATAATTCAAAAGAAAGAGTAAGTGGGAATTATGTCTCACCCCATGAGAGATGGTGACAAAGGAAATATATCCCCAAACTTATAAGAAACAAATGGCATGAGGGTTTCCAAATTGGAATTCAATGGGCAAGAAGGTTATGATCTTCTAGGCTTTGTTTGGGATAGCTTTCTTAATGCTTTCAAAATAATTTTCCAATACAAAAATTTCTAATTCAAAATTGTTTTGTACTAAAAAGCTGCTTTATAAAGCAATAAGAAAACCATCCCAAACAAAACCTAAATCGTACTGATGTTTAAAGCAAATGTTTCAAACAAGTTTAGATTAAATCTGTAAATTATATAATCATGTATTCATATTTTGACATTTAAGACTATATGGATTATGAAAGAGCTCCAATAAAAGTGCTATGCTTCTTGATTTCAAGGGTGGAAGTAAAAAGTTGGAGTTCAGACTTTGATTTTTTTTAATAAACTATACATTCACTAGTTCTTTGGTCACAATTTGATCATTAACCATCCTTATGCCCCCCTTATCTATAATTGGCCTTATGATTACTTATCTATACTTAGCCTTGTTTTCTATTTTGAATCAATAAAATATTTGAGATAGGTTTCTATCCTTATTGAAACTAGAGTTCAAATGGTTTGGAAACAAAAAGTTGTCATAAGGTTTACTCCATACTTTGCAATCATTTATGCAGTATAACTTTCATGTAACATAAAACTAAAACCCAGGGAAAATAGCCCTAATCAAATAACATAAAGAAAATAAGATGTATAAAAACTAGCCAATTTATTTTAGAAAAAGAGTGCACTTAACTTCATGCTATGGTAACATCAAATCATAAGCAAGTATGATGAATAACAATACAACAAAAAAAATAACATCAAGCCTCTATCCAATTGTGTGGGGTCGGTTAGATGAATCTTTCTTTGTTCCATTGTGTTTTTTTATCCAAGTAGAATTCAAGTTGGATGGTTGAAGTGTAGGAATGCATCGGGCTTGTTGTGTGATAGAAAAATACCCCTCAAACTTAAGGGAAAATTCTATAAGATGGTGTTGAGGCCTGCAATGCTTTATGATGCCGAATGTTGGCCATTAAAAGAGAAGCATAATACCAAATTAAACGTGACAGAGATGAGGATGCTCAGGTGGATGAGTGACTTTACCCTTAGAAATAGGATATGAAATGAGCATATACGTGAAAAGGTTGGAGTAGCTTCAATAGAAGATAAAATTAGAGAGAGTCGCCTTAGATGGTTTGGTCACATAAAACGGCGGCCTTCTGATGAGCCGGTTAGAAGAGTAGAGGTATTAGATTTGACTTATGTTAAAAAAGGTAGAGGCAGACCTAAAAAGACTTGGTTAGAAAATATTAGTAATGACCTTTCTTTATTAGATTTAAACGAGAATTTGACTTTTAATAGAACACAATGGAGAAAAAGGATTCATGTAGCGGACCCCACATAGTGGGATAAAGGCTTGATGTTGTTATTGTTGTTATTGTGTTCTGTTAAGAGCCAAATTTTCATTTAAATCCAATAAAAAAGATCATTTATAATACTTTCTGATAAAATCTTTTTAGGTCTACCTCTATCTTTCTTAAAATATGCCCAAACCTAATACATCTATTCTCCTAATCAGGTCAATGGAAGGCCTGCATTTTATGTGACCAAACCATCTAAAACAGTTCTATCTTATCTTATCTGCCACTGGAGTTACTCCAACCTTTTCACATCATAATTATAAAAAATATTAAGCCTCACCAAAATGAAAATCAAATTTTTTATGATTCTCCTTAAGTATGCCCGTGTCTCGGAGAAGAGAGATGATATGATCAATTTCATAGCGTATAGTAAAATGACATTCACTAATCTTCCTCAAATTGAGTACACGGGGGCTTACAAAGAAAAAAGAGAAGAAGACCGAATTAGTCGCCTAACTTTTTTGAATGACCAAAATAGCTATCGACTATATTGAAGTATAAATTTAGATCCCTAACTCTTTAAATAAGGACCAAATTAGTTTTATTTGCGAATCATTTAAGTCTCTATGTTTATCACTTCTTCATCGAGATGAAGCTTCAAACCCACAGAAATACCAATCCAAAACCAAAATGGGAGGAGAAGACTCTCTTACTGTGTATAATAGTACAATTGCGAAGCTCCTTTCACAACAATGTCGACAACCAACAGAACCACACATAGAACAAAGGTTACAGCCCTGAAAACCAGAAGCCAAGCAGGATGAATTGTTCTGAGACAAGGCATCCAAATCCCATCCTTGTGAAAATCCCCCATCTTTCCATTTCGAGCTTCTTCTTGCTCTCCCCCATCCTGCTCAGAACCTTCATATTTCCATATCAAAATGGAAGCTAGGGCAATGCAACACAGAATCCCCGTCGCACAGAAGAAGAATCTCCAGTTGAGCCAGTAGGAAGGATCTGTAGTGTCGGAATCCATGGCAGGCTGATAAGAGCTTCTTGACCGTTCTGTTTACAGAACTGGTTGAAGGACAGAGAGAGGGAGAAATAATGGAAAAAAGAAGGCAAAAAATAGGGAAAAAAAATTTTTTTTCGAGATATTTTGATTGAAGTTTGGAATTATGAGCTCAAAATAAATTAAAAAAATATTAAAATTTAATTGAAATTCTCTACTGAAAATATTTATTACGGAAAAATAAGCGGTACAAGATTTGCCAGATCAGTTGAGAACTTGAGATGCAGAGAGCCCCGCTTAGGGCCACTCTCTTCTAAAAATGACTCTGTGAGTTGAGTTTGATGAGTTAATGAGTTAAATTTAAGCAAGTTATGAGTTGACTCGGTTTAGAGGGATTAATTTTGGAAAATATTAATATAAAATGTACTTAAAATATATTAGGTTTTTGTATTTTAAGTACAAGGTTGTAAAAATATTTAAAAATATATAGCACTTTTTTTTTTTCATTTTATCATAATTAATGGTTGAATCATGATTATTTTCTCTTTTTTCATAATAAATAGGTTGGCTTGTGAGTCAGTTCGAACTCATAGAATAAAGTTCGGCTCAATTTTGAACTCAATTAATTAATCAAGCTCAAGTCATGGATGACTCGAGCTCGACTTAACTCTTTTAAACCCCCAACAAAAATTGGTATTTTAATAATCTTAATTTTTATTCTACTCATTAAAAAAAAAGAAGTTAAAGAAGGTAGAAATATTGATTATTTTTAATTTAAATAGATACTGCAAATAAAGTTTGCATTTACCATTTTTTTAAGGGAGATTTACATACATACCACTCTATAGTATTCTATTTACATATTTAACATCTAAAACTTTAATATTACATATATACCACCCATAGTTCATTTATATATCAAATATGAGTGGTAGAAATGAAATATATGAGTGGTAGGAAGGAAATATGAGTGGCATATTTGATATTAAAATAGTATAGGGTGGTATGTATGTAATATTAAAGCTTTAGGTGTTAGATATGTAAATAGGATGTTATAAAATGGTATGTATGTAAATTTCCCTTTTTTTAATTTTAAATTCACGAAGGATTTTACATGAATAAGATCTTGAATTTGATAGTTGTAAATCTTAAAAAATTAAAATAAATCTTATACACAAGTTTTAGATCAAAATGGTTGCGTAGAATTAGGTTTTATTTGAGACATTTTTTATTACTTTTTTAAGTAGTTTTCTAGTTTAAAAATTTTTTAACTTGAAATTTTAATACTAAAAAATTACTTCACAAAGTAACAAGAAAACCGTCTCAAACGAAATCATAGGTCTAGATGGTGAAGCTAGACTAGTCATTCACTATCAAAAAATGGATTTTTCACAGCAGATGTTAGGAGCGGTTTTAGAACCGTTGTCGAAACCTTGATTTAGCATCGGTTTTGAGCTCTACAATTTGCTGCGATAGCCATATTTTTTGGTAATGATTTATCAAATGGTATCTATTTTTTAACTCTCAAAGATAATTAATTTGGGCAATAGACTTACCACTATGAATTCAAGAACATGCAACATCTTATACGTAAAAGATCATTACATATCATAATTTTAAGACATAAATCATGTAAGAAATTTCACATTAGAATTCTTATAAGAAAACATCTAATATAAGAAATTTTATAAGAAATTTCTTATATGATTTCTGTCCATAATTTCAACTTGTAGCTTCTGAATCTTGGCGCCATTCTAACTAGCCAAGGCATTTGTGTCCATAAGTATTGCATGCCTCAATGCCTTCCTCTCTTGAAATCTCTGAACTCTTCTTCCATCCATCTATAAATAAATCAATAAATATTATGAACCAAATAAGCTCAAAATAAATGGAATTTTGCATTTTATTAATATATACATTGCATTTAAAGGCCATTGCATCAAATGTTAAAAAACTATAACATTAAATTAATATTAAATAATATTATTACATGATAAAAATCATGTCAATATTGAGATATTTAATCACCCAAAAAATAACTTATAGTTCTCACATAAAATTAAAGAAACAAATAGAGCTAGCAAGGGACATAAGAATTTTTAGGTAAAAAATTCCGAAAAAAGGGGACATATATAGCATGATTAAAACAGCATGCACTAGCAAAAACTATGAGTTACAAAGCATTCCCCTTTCTTAAAAATTTTGAGAATACTACAATATAAAGTAGGTGAAACAAAGCTATTGCAACTATCCCTTGTGATAAGAAAATCAATGAAGTAGATGAAGGTGAATACATTTGTTCTAGATCTTCCTATAGATTAATGTGGTACAATATTGAGGTGGTGAATGATGTTGTGTAAGAAGGTCATAGAAGTCATTAAAGAGGATTAGATTGGCCCTCCCTTGGAGGTGAAGACAACATACCATAAAAGTTGCAACAAAGATGTATAGGAATAATTTGAAGATCACTAATGATTGTTGGATCTAAGATTAAAACAAAAAAAGGGGCATAGGAAGGCTCATCAAGGTCATTAGAGTTGGATAGATTTATCCTTCCATTGATGTTGATATGAGATGACCAGATGTTGGTGAGGGAGGTACATATAAGAGGTTATGGAGGCCACCAAAGATGCATGCTTAAATCTAGCCTTCCATATAAATGAACATGGAACATAAATGACATAAACGATAAGTCTTCCTTTAGATGTGTTTGTAAAGGAGATCCAAAAGTGTTGCAATAGATAATCATAACAAGTGGTAAGGATAGTCCCTCTCTAGAAGAAGAGCTGAGAGAATGACTCATAGTTTGGTAGGTAATTAAGGTAATCAAGGTAATCATTGTAGGTATGGATTGAATGATTTCAATGTACATCATTTGGTTGCTAAGATAACACGTAAATATATAATATGAAATTAATTATCCCATCCCTTTTTAAATGCTTTGATATTTGTTTATTATATCAAAATTTATGCCTAGTAATCTAGGAATTTTTTGTAATCCCAATAGTAACCCCTTTTTTTATGTTAGTATTATAAGTGAGAACATAGTATCACATCTTAAAAAGTATGTAATATTACATTGCATCACAATAGAAACATTAAGGCATGATCACTTCTTGGTTAAGAGGTGATAATGAGTATGACATATATAAGCATGGTTGTTGTGTATGCCTTAAGGATATAGTTATGGCCATTGTTATGGTGTAAGAGACATAGCACAAGCAATATTGGTGCATATCTAGAGAAGATAGCTATGAAATAAGCAAGTATGCAATGTAGGTCCAAAGAAGATGATTTTTACTCAAAGAGTTTATGGTATAAGTTTAGAGGTAATGATGATAATAGTGTAATAATGGTTAAATCATAAGTATTCAAGAAGTTGAGTGTGATTGAAGAACAATTGAGGTGCAAATTTGAAAGTATGTAAATACAAATCTCACTTGGAAGTATAAGATATATATAAAGTAATATTTTCTCATATGTACCAAATCATATTTTTTATGCAATTATACCTCTAATTATTCAATTTAGAATTTTATGTTTTTTTGATATTTTTTCAATTTTTGGAACTATATTTTAACTGTTTCTAAAATTTTATTAAATATTTTTATTCAGAAAAAAAATTAAATATTTTTTTCTCAGTTTTCTTTAAATCATGATTAATATTTGAATAGCATTTTTTTTTACCAAATTGAACTATTTTAAAAATTATTATAATTAAAATCTTCATCCATATATACAACAATAAATCTAAAAAAAAAGATCAAGATATTATTTGTCATTACAAAATTTATAAAAATGATAAAAGATTAAAATTTACTTATATACTTCAAATAAATTCTTTTATTCATAAAGCTAATATCCAAAATTAAAAAATAAACTATAGAATTTATGTAATATTTATATGCAAAATACTTCGATAATTTTATAAATATGAGAATATTTTTTTTTAATTATTTTTTTAATCATAAAATTAACAGATTTGATGCACACAATTAATAGTCTTTTATAAATATATTAAAAAACCTGATATAGTGCTTCTTCTTCTCTAGCTTTCTTGCTCTCTTTCCTTGTACTGCATCCTTCTCCTTTCTCCCTGTGCTGGAATCTTGGAAAATGAGCCCACTGCATTTATAAAATTTAATTAATTTTTATTAATAATAAATTAATCATAATTAATAATTAAACTACTTTATTATACTTAATAATAACCAATATTCTAATCTGTAAATATATTACATTAACAAATTATACTCACTATGATTAATTTTCATAAATCTTAAGTTATTGAAAATGTAGAAACTAAAACAATGTGATGTTTCACAATTTAACAAAAATCGTAAATCAATAATTAATTAATTTCTCTCTGTTTTTATAATTTCTACAAAAAGTATAATAAAAAAATAAGATTACATAAAAATATAAAATAAAATAAAATATAATATAATGAAATATCCTAAAGTTTTATGACCATTCAAAGGTGGAAATTAGCATACTTGATAAATCGGTTGTAAGCTGAAGGAGCTCTTTGCCTCTTCTCTGGAGCTGTAATGGAGTGAAATGATCCATATATACAAATTAATATTTTTTTTTTCAAAATTAAATAAATATTATTTTATTTTATAGAATGATCACAGACGTTTGTTGATGGTGATGATTGCTGGAGGAGGAGAATCTTCTCTTCCTAGAAACTGATCAGCTTCTTCCTCACCATCATATCCATAGATTTTCTCCTCATTTTCTCCATTCATTCCTTGCTGTTTTTCCTGAAAATCTCATCAAAATCTATCATCCTTTATGAAAAATTTGCAGTGCAGCCATGTTTTGTACCTCGATGCTAATTTTTTTCTACGAAACAAGAAAATTCTAAACAGTTTGCACTAACGAAAAATCATCAATTACCGACGGTATTTCCGGCGGTCAAAGAACCACCGGAATTACTGGCAGTTAAACCGGCCGTCTGAAATCGCCGGTAATTTTTAAAACAGCCCGAAAAGCTATATAAATCGCCGGAAAGTGCCGCCAAGTGATAATTTTTCTGTAGTGTCGCAGATAACTTATTTCATTTCTAGATCATTACTATTGAATGGAAAGATTTGTGAAGCATTTTGGTGCAGTAATGGACACCTGATGATA